TGTGTAATGATAAGAAATATATATTTGAAGTTTGAAGTAGATACCTTAAAAAATAAAGAAGTTATTATATTTCTTAAGAAAATCCTAAGTTCAAAGAGAGATAAATCTGTAAATATTGCTTCAAGAGTTATGAACATTGTCACATAAAATGTAATTGATGATAAGGAATAAGTATTTGAAGTTTGAGGTAGTTACCTTTAAAAATAAAAAAGTTAATATAAAAAAATAACATTTTTCTAGTAAATAAATCTAAGTTTATGGGGAGATAATTCTTGCAATATTGGTGCTAGAGTTATGAACCTTCTCACATAAGATGTTGATGATGATAACGTAAATATATTTGAAGTCTGAAGTTGATCCCTTTAGAAATAAATAAGTTACAGTAAAAAATAATATTTTTTATGGAAAATTCTAAGTTCAAAGGGAGATAAATCTGAAAATATTGGTGCTAGAGTTATGAACCTTGTCACATAAGATGGGGATGATGATAATGTAAATATATTTGAAGTATGAGGTTGATCCCTTAAGAAATTAAGAAGAAACAGTAAGAAATAGTATTTTTTGAGGAAAATTCTAAGTTCAAGGGGAGATAATTCTGAAAATATTGGTGCTAGAGTTATTAACTTTGTCACATAAGATGGGGATGATGATAAGGTACATATATTTGAAGTATGAGGTTGGTCCCTTAAGAAATAAAGAAGTATCAGTAAAAAATAGTATTTTTTAAGGAAAATTCTAAGTTCAAGGGGAGATAAATCTGAAAATATTGATGCTAGAGTTATGAACCTTGTCACATAAGATGTGGTTGATGATAAGGAACATACATTTGAAGTTTGAAGTTGATACCTTAAGAAATGACAAAGTTATAGTGAAAAATATTTTACTGCACCAAAACTTTAATCTAAAATCTGGACGCGGACGCCGACGCCGGGGCGAGTAGGACAGCTCTCCATATACTTCGTATAGTCGAGCTAAAAATGTTTATTGAAACTGTCTTAATTTAGTCCTAAAGTAGGACTTGGGATACACTTAGGACTTTATATGAAACACAGACCTGGCTCTTTACTATTGACTGCATCAGAATTATAGAAACCTCTTAAACTAACATTGAACAATTTCAAATTTGATTTCATCTCAAGAACTGTGGGAAAATAAATGTTACATGCAAAGTAAAACTGTTCAACAATATGTCTTAATTTTAAAGCAATATATATTAATTTAATAGCAATATATCTAAATTTCATAGCAGTATATCTCAGTTGTATAACAATATATCTTCATTTGATTTCAATATACTTTAATTTTGATAGTAATACGTGTTACAATAAGAGTTTCTCCAGTTAACATTTATACAGGAAAAATAATATAATTGACAATCAATACAATTTCATAGCGTACTGTAACTTTGATTACTTAACCATGCATGTAGTTTCCCTGAAAATTCACAATTCTTCTGTTTTTGGCACTTTTCAATCTCCTGTTTGCCAGAAATCATTTTAGAGCTTATTATTTACAAGAATAAATAACAAAATTGCATGAAAGTGCCAGACTCAACATGTAACAGAGACTGGAAAAATGAAGCAACAATCTTAAATAGTTTTTTTTATACTTTTTTTTTTACCCTACCACATTTACATGCAGAAAAAAAGATAAACACTTGTCAAAACTCCATGTTTACAGGATAGGAAAACAATACACACACTATTTTCTCATTAACTTTGCCTTTTTTCAAAGGAAAATCTGGGAATGTTATTTGCAGTATTATTAAATAAACAATGAGAGAGAACAATTTTTGTTTTGTTTGTGCTTGCCAGTTTGTACAGACATAAATGTCTTCGTGATTTCATACTTTATTTTTTAAGTTCCCATTTTCTAAAAGCCTCCATTGTTAAAGCCAAACATTGTAATGATGAAGAATACAATGTCCTTGAGAGCTAAGCTACAAGAAATTATTGACTTTATTCCACTAACAAAAAAAATCTAACTCTAAAACCTATAGTGTTGTTTTAATCTAAGTTAGTAAATATGTATTCTAAATGTGTCTTTGACATTTCTGCCTAAACAGATGTAACGCATTTTTTGTATATCATGTTGGTTTTCAATTCTTATGAAGACTTATTAATGTCAAAAATAGCAGAATTGTGTTGTCTTGATTTTTTCACATTATCATCATTCTACAATCCAATCAATACATAGTTATTATCATTCAGTGCTCAACAGCATAAAAAAGGGGCAAAACTCTTTAAACAAGAGGGCCAAGATGGCCCTAAATCGCTCATCTCACCTATCTAACTTTTCAGAGCATTTACTCAGACAAGTGAAAGTGTTAACAAGATTTTTCTATTTTTAGCTCCTGTGACCTAGTTTTTCATCCGAGATGACCCATGCTCGAACTCATCTGAGCAATTACATAGACAAACATCCTGACCAAGTTTGATGATGATTGAGTCAAAAATGTGACCACTAGAGTGTTAACAAGGTTTTTCCATATTTGGGCAGTGTGACTTAGTTTTTGACCCCAGATAAACCATATAGAAATCATCAAAACAAACTTTCAGACCAATTTCCAGGATATTTGGATCAAAACAGTAGCCACTAGAGTATTAACAAGATTTTTCTATTTTTAGCTCCTGTGACCTAGTTTTTCATCCGAGATGACCCATGTTCAAACTCATCCGAGCAATTACCTAGACAAGCATCCTGACAAAGTTTGATGATGATTGAGGCAAAAATGTGACCGCTAGAGTGTTAACGAACAAATGTGGACGGATGACAGACAACAGAAATTCAACGATGCTAAAAGCTCACCCTGACCTAGCTCAGGAAAAAATGCTTGTCAGATAATCACAGGAAACAAGTGTGTGAAATTTCCGTAATTTTGTAGATACCAAAAAATAATTGTAGACAAAAACCAAGGTGTAACGACTACGCTGATGCTGAGGTGATCTGTATTCTTTGAATAGTCAAGAAAAAATGCTGTCAACCAACTAATTTACACTTAAGTTCCAAAAAGTCATGTCATTGGAAGAAAAAATCAAACATCATCAATATTCTCTGCCGTCAACAGTTAGTTAGCAAAAACAAACAAGAGTCATAAACTGTTTCTAGGCTGTGCAAAATGATTCTGTGCTGGAAATTCCTTTTAACCATTTATTGTGTGACTTCTAACAATTATGACCATAACTATTCAAAGAGTTACATGATTTTCATTAAATTTTTTATTGTCTTACTACTGTATAAATTTACTTATTTCATATTAAATTTACAAAAATTAAGCGAGAAGTAAAGTACATAAAAAAATTTCCGCTTTGTGTGGCTTTTTAATTCCTTCCAACATACAAACACAAATAATAACTCTCCACCACTGAGCAAAAGAACCCATGCACCTCACACAATAGTAAGAATTCATACCAATTGGTGGAGATGTCCTGTACACTTATAACATTATAATTCTTGTCTTATTTTAGGTATAACCATTCTAAAAGGCACTATAAGGAACTGAAAAATTGACAACATAGGTCAATTATATGTCTGAAAGGACACGTCCATGCAAAATTCTTAACAAAATTTCTGTGCGGTTTACGAATTTTGAACCCAAGACTCTAATTTTCAATGCAGTTGACAGTAATTCTAGCTTATTTAAATACTCTTCAAAGTTGAAAAATGTGCAGCCTATTCTGCTTTTTCAATATGAGCTTAAAGATGCACATTATTATCAAATACTCAAATTTAATACTATCAGCATTTCATTTGAAGTTCTCAAAGATATATCATTTATACAGTAATCATAAAGAAAGAGTTTGACTTTGCAATCAAGGTAGGTTAGTCTGGGAAAAGAAAATCTGTGTATAACAGAAGTTACTTCCCTGTTCTATGAACAACTTCAAAACTTATAGACACATATTCATAAATAGTTTCATCAGAATAATTACACATATCAGACTTGACAGCAAATAAACAAACACCAATTGGCAGCAAAATAAAACAGAATTTTAATTACAGCAACAATTACAGCAAAAATGTATAAGAACATGTTGAACTTACAGATATTTAATTCAAGAGAATATGGAGGATGGGGAAGAATTTCAAAGCTGCAGTCAGTTGCAGCAGCCGTCGCAACTTGGGATGTGTGAGCTGGCGCATTGTCGTGCAGGAGCTGAACGCCTTAAAGACGGCTCTGATTTCAACTTTCTCCATTTGGTCTAAATGACACACCCCTCTACTGATCAATGTGTGTTTTATGTTACTTAATCTGTGTAAATCCGCATGTAACCCGGTCAGTAATCTTGAATAAGATATTGGTATCAACTTATGGTGTGTAAATGTCAGTGTAGTGGCTAGAAGTATATCAGACCAGAACTTTTTGATCATACCTTGTAAGTGAGATAAATAGCAACATTTTATTTTTTTCCCTTTTCTATATAATTGTAAAAATATTTTTTTTAGCATGCCTCTTAACCACAAAACAGAATGTAATTTTAGTTTATCTGATAATTTTAACAACACAAATTTTCATCACAGAGCATTGTAACTCTTCTAATTTACAAAAGCTTCTGGATTAAAATATCTATTAAATTGGATAACATTATAGGTCAAACCATTCTGGGTATATGAAAGGCCACTGATGCCATAATTGTTCAGTTTTAATGTCTGTAAGATTCACAACTTTAACTCTATGTTTTATCTACATTTAGGACAAAAACAGTACTGTAATACAACAACTGTTTATTTAGTCTTGAAGATACAGGAACCAATGACTCCCATCCTTTCAGTAGGCTGCAGTAACTGATATACATGATGTGAGGAGATGGAAAACAACAATGACTATAAATAAGATACTAAAACCATTCTTAATAAAAAAATCTCAAGTTGATATATTCAAGAAGTATATGACTGCATGTGTGACAATGCATTAATTTATACCAGAACCGGATGGCTGCTTACAGTAACCTGAACTGTACCAACTAGAGGTAAGGTGGGTGACTATATATGACACTTACCTTGCGTGCAGTTTGGACCAAAATGTCTGTTACCAGCACAGGTGTTACAGTCATCCCCACCATAATTACCATCACAGGTGCAAGTCCCATCTCCAAAATAACCCTCGCTGCACTGCAATGACACAGTATATAAATTATTTTCTGCACTGCAATGACACAGTATATAAATTTTTTGCTGCACTGCAACAACAATGACACAGTAAATAAATTATTTGCTGCATTACAATGACACAGCATATAAATTATTTTCTGCACTGCAACAATGACACAGTATTTAAATCATTTGCTGCAACAATGACACAGTATATAAATTATTTGCTGCACTGCAATGACACAGTATATAAATCATTTGCTGCACTGCAATGACACAGTATATAAATTATTTGCTGCACTGCAATGACACAGTATATAAATCATTTGCTGCACTGCAATGACACAGTATATAAATTATTTGCTGAACTGCAATGACACAGTATATAAATTATTTGCTGCACTGCAATGACACAGTATATAAATTATTTGCTGAACTACAATGACACAGTATATAAATTATTTGCTGAACTGCAATGACACAGTATATAAATTATTTGCTGCACTGCAATGACACAGTATATAAATTATTTCCTGCTCTGCAATGACACCAGTATATAAATTATTTGCTGCACTGCAATGACACAGTATATAAATTATTTGCTGCACTGCAATGACACAGTATATAAATTATTTGCTGCACTGCAATGACACAGTATATAAATTTTTTGCTGCACTGCAACAACAATGACACAGTAAATAAATTATTTGCTGCATTACAATGACACAGCATATAAATTATTTTCTGCACTGCAACAACAATGACACAGTATTTAAATTATTTGCTGCACTACAATGACACAGTATATAAATTATTTGCTGCACTGCAATGACACAGTATATAAATTATTTGCTGAACTGCAATGACACAGTATATAAATTATTTGCTGCACTGCAATGACCAGTATATAAATCATTTGCTGCACTGCAATGACACAGTATATAAATTATTTCCTGCTCTGCAATGACACAGTATATAAATTATTTGCTGCACTGCAATGACACAGTATATAAATTATTTGCTGCACTGCAATGATACAGTATATAAATTATTTGCTGCACTGCAATGACACAGTATATAAATTATTTGCTGCACTGCAATGACACAGTATATAAATTATTTGCTGCACTGCAATGACACAGTATATAAATTATTTGCTGCACTGCAATGATACAGTATATAAATTATTTGCTGCACTGCAATGACACAGTATATAAATTATTTGCTGCACTGCAATGACACAGTATATAAATTATTTCCTGCTCTGCAATGACCAGTATATAAATTATTTGCTGCACTGCAATGACACAGTATATAAATTATTTGCTGCACTGCAATGACCAGTATATAAATTATTTGCTGCACTGCAATGACACAGTATATAAATTATTTGCTACACTGCAATGGACCAGTATATAAATTATTTCCTGCTCTGCAATGACACAGTATATAAATTATTTGCTGCACTGCAATGACACAGTATATAAATTATTTGCTGAACTTTAATGACACAGTATATAAATTATTTGCTGCACTGCAATGACACAGTATATAAATTATTTGCTGCTCTGCAATGACACAGTATATAAATCATTTGCTGAACTGCAATGACACAGTATATAAATCATTTGCTGCACTGCAATGACACAGTATATAAATTATTTCCTGCTCTGCAATGACCAGTATATAAATTATTTGCTGCACTGCAATGACACAGTATATAAATTATTTGCTGCACTGCAATGACCAGTATATAAATCATTTGCTGCACTGCAATGACACAGTATATAAATTATTTGCTGCTCTGCAATGACACAGTATATAAATCATTTGCTGAACTGCAATGACACAGTATATGAATTATTATTTTGCAGCACGGCAATAACACAGAATATAAATTATTTGCTGCATTGCAATGACGCAATATATAAATTATTTGCTGTACTGCAATAACACAATATATAAATTAATTTATCATCAATTCTGAGAATATCATCAACACCTTGCCCGCAACTAGCAATTGTTACGTATTTAGCCAAGATCATGTATTTTGTACAGTACTGAGAAGTGTGTAAATTATGAACCCGTAAGATATACCCTACTTGCTTGTTTAAATTAACCTCATATGGACAGATGGACTGACTGATGGTTAAATGAGCGGGGACATAAAATTTCTTATCATGGTCAGGATTGAATTATCCAGATTTTATTTTTGTTGGTGTAGTAAAACACACATTGATCATTGGCTAATATACTTTAAAGCATAATCAAAATGCTTAAAGCTACTGCTATGAAATAAAGCCAATCTATTTTTTTGATAACATTTAGATTTTAAAATAAATATAACTATGATAAACAGAATCAAAATAATGATCAAAACTAGAACTATCGCTGAATGCGATTCATACCCCCACCAATGTCCTTGACAGAACATTTTCTAAGCCTAAAAGAGGCATAACTTGTGTCATAATTCAATGGAATTGTATAATTTTCGTCATCTGAGCTTGCTTGTAACCATTCATATAAATTTTAAGTTTCAAGTAAATATCTGTTCTGGTTTAAGAACTATTATAATAAATAAATTTAAAGACACAAAAATGGACTTAACTTTGTCAAAATACAATACAAAGTTATCCTCCCACTTTTTTTAGTTATGAAACTTGACCTGCATATCTTACTTGCGACACTTCGTATAAGTTTCAAATGATTATCTGTTCTAGTTTTAGAAATATTCAAGTACATGTTAAAATTTCAGAACATTTTCTAAGTCAATTTTTGACCTTCAAGTGTGGCCTTGACCTTAAGCTGGCACAAGGGTAAGATGGGTTCTGCACATTGCCCAGTTGGGGTGAACATTTGAGTCAAGTTTGAAGAAAATCCTTCCATTAGTATAGAATTTATAGAGCGGACACAATATTGTCTAGTATTGATTGTATGCAAATTTAAAAACTTAAAAAGAGGCATAACTTTGTCAAAATGCAATACAGAGTTATGAAACTTGACCTGCATATCTTACTTGTGACACCTCATACATCTTTTAAGTTTCAAGCAAATATCTTTTCTAGTTTCAGAAATATTCAAATACATGTTAAAATTTTAGAATATTTTCTAAGTCAATTTTTGACCTTCAAGTGTGACCTTGACCTTAAGCCGGCAAAAGGGCAACATGGGTTCTGCACATCCCCTTGTTGAGGTGAACATTTGAGCCAAGATTGAAGAAAATATTTCAATTAGTGTAGGACTTACAGAGCGGACACGACATACTGTCTAATATTTGATTGTTTGATATTTGACCTTCAATTGTGACCTTGACCTTGAGCTGACACATGGGCAACATGAGTTCTGCACATCCCCTTGTTGAGGTGAACATTTGAGCCAAGTTTGAAGAAAATCTTTCAATTAGTGTAGGACTTACAGAGCGGACACGACATACTGTCTAATATTTGATTGTTTGATATTTGACCTTCAATTGTGACCTTGACCTTGAGCTGACACATGGGCAACATAGGTTCTGCACATCCCCTTGTTGAGGTGAACATTTGAGCCAAGTTTGAAGAAAATTTTTCAATTAGTGTAGGTCTTAGAGCGGACACGACATACTGTCTAATATTTGATTGTTTGATATGTGACCTTCAAATGTGACCTTGACCTTGAGCTGACACATGTGCAACATAGGTTCTGCACATCCCCTTGTAGAGGTGAATATCTGAGCCAAGTTTGAAGAAAATCCTTCAATTGGTATGGGATTTATAGAGCGGACATGATAATGGAGACGGACGGACGGACTTACGGACGCGACAAAGCGAATCCATTATAGCCCCCCCAACATTTTGTGGTGGGGGTATAATAATGATCAATTTTGAGATCATTATTATTAGGATACGCAAGTAACAGACTCTGTTCAATGTCTATATTTCTCTAACAACTAAATCTGTTTGTTCTTTTGCTTAAAAGTTTAATATGTACATATATACTTAAATTGTTATTTGCATTTAGCATTTAAACAAAACTTTTATAACATACCTTTCCTCTCCCGCTGCAAACATTTTCATGACCACCTGGGCATGGAAGGCAGTCAAACCCATAAAATCCTTCACAACATTTAGGTGTCTGAAACACATCAACAAAACCATACATAGTATTCTGCTATCTTTAAATACAACTCCTTAGTAAATACAAAAATTATTTTAGTTTGATTGAGTAAAAATTAGTTATAAGCTTACAAACACTCTTGAATCCTTTCCTGGAACCATCAAGTACTGAGTAACAAGTGTTAAGTTTCTTGCTAAAGGAAACAACAGCTTGCCCATGAAGGGGTTTGAACACATGCAGATAGAGATCCTTAGATATCAAGTCTGACACATAAACCACTGTGCCATACCATAACAAACAACTTCTTATTATAATTCTATATTAAAAAACACATAAAACAAAAGAACCAGTTAAACAATTTACTCTTACAAATGAGAAATTTTATGAGAGTTACAACAAAATTTTTCAATAAGGTATTCACAAGTTTCTGTAAATAGGAAATCTATTGCTAAGGACAGAAATTTGACAAAGATGTTTTGTGAAAAGGTATGTAGGTCTTTAAGGACAAGTTTTGTACAAATGCCCTTTATGAAGAAGTGATCTTAAAACAGAGGTTTGACTGTATACAAAATTACCGTATAGGTCCTGTTACACATCAAAGCACAACCAGACATTTTGACGTATTTTCCTTGTGAATTTTTCAAAAAGTAATTACAATTGACTGTTGTGTTCTGTAAAACAAAAACATGAATTTGTCACCAGAAGTGATTAAGCCTTTCCCGCCAGTTAGAGATCGGCCAGCTTGCCCGTCTGTGCAGTTTGACCTGGCTCTATACTGTTTAAATAATTCTTATAATTTATTTTCTCATTGAAATATTAGAATATTAAAACAACCTGAAACAGAAGTATAACAACAGTAAACCATAATATAAATTCAACATCTTACTACAGTCTTACAGATTGGAAATTTCTTATCAACTACATTTTATTTCGCATCAATTAACAAGAGGGCCATGATGGCCCTGAGGTCGCTCACCTGTATATAGGCCCCCCGAGCGAGGCCAGTTTAAACCCAAGGGCTTTTATTTGAACAAACCTGGAAGACACCCATTAGAAGATGTTTCATGATGTTAAGTTTTTACTATACATATATAATGAAAAACAATGACCTCCCCCACCCCCCCTGGTAGGGCTAATGTTAACCCAAGGGCTTTTATTTGAACAAACTTGGTAGACACCTATTAGAACATGTTTCATGCTTAACATCTAAGCTCTAACTCATTGGGTTTTTTAAAAGAAGATTTTTTAAGTTTTTACTATACACATATAGTTAAAAACAATGACACCCCTGGGGCGGGGCCAGTTTTGACCCCAGGGCTTTTATTTGAACAAACTTTGTAGACACTTAGTAGAAGATGTTTCATGCTTAATATCTAAACAGTAGCTCTTTGGGTTTTTTCAAAGAAGATTTTTAAGTTTTTGCTATACACATATAAGGAAAATCAATGTCCCCTGGGGCGGGGCCAATTTTGACCCTAGGGCTTTGATTTGAACAAACTTTATAGACACTCACAAGAAGATGTTTCATGCTTAATATCTAAACTCTAGCTATTTTGATTTTTTCAAAGAAGATTTTTAAGTTTTTGCTATACACATATAAGGAAAATCAATGACCCTCGGGGTGGGGCCAATATTGACCCCAGGGCTTTTATTTGAACAAACTTGGTAAACACCCATTAGAACATGTTTCATGCTAAATATCTTAGCTCTAGCTCTTTGAGTTCTTTAAAAGAAGATTTTTTAAAGTTTTTACTATATGCATATAGGGAAAATCAATGACCCCCTGGGGCAGGGCCAATTTTGACCCCAGGGCTTTTATTTGAACAAACTTGGTAGACAATCATGAGAAGATGTTTCATGCTAAATATTTTAGCTCTAGCTCTTTGGGTTCTTTAAGAGAAGATTTTTTAAGTTTTTACTATATGCATATAGGGAAAATCAATGACCCCCTGGGGCGGGGCCAATTTTGACCCCAGGGCTTTTATTTGAACACCCTTGGTAGACAATCATGAGAAGATGTTTCATGCTAAATATCTTAGCTCTAGCTCTTTGGGTTCTTTAAAATTAGATCTTTTAAGTTTTTACTATATGCATATAGGGAAAATCAGTGACCCCCTGGGGCGGGGCCAATTTTGACCCCAGGGCATTTATTTGAACAAACTTGGTAGACACTCACTAGAAGATGTTATGTGCCATATATCTAAGCTTTAGCTCTTTGGGTTTTTTAAAAGAAGATATTTAAAGTTTTTTCTTTTGGTTGCCATGGCAACCAGAGTTCTGCATGGAATTAAATTCTTTGAACAATTTTTAAAGGTGACCACCAAAGGAACATTCCTGTGAAGTTTGGATGAAATTGGCTCAGCGGTTTATGAGGAGATGTCATTTAAAGTAAAAGTTTATGGACGGACGGACGCCGGACGGACGCCGGACGGACGCCGGACGAAAAGCCATCACAAAAGCTCACCCTGTCACTTTGTGACAGGTGAGCTAAAAAGTGCACATCTCAGGAAATATAAAATACAAAAACAACAATTATGTACTTGTTTGATAGGAAATTTTCAACATATAGTGTAAAATTGTATTTTCTATTATCAAACTGAGAAAGTCAAAAACATTTACAAATAATTGTGTACAGTAAAATGTAATAACATTAATTCACTCACGACTGTTTGTATATCCTTGATCATTGCTTATTCAAATATAATCATTCTTGTAAAAAATATAAAAACAACAATAAATATCAAATACATTTTCAAAGACTTTGGATTCTTTTATGTGTTGAAACTATTCAGTTACCATACACAGAATGTTGGTGGTTCTACTTATGTGTCCATTGGTGCCAAAAATAATGCATGAAGAGCATATTTGAGGTGACTTCCTCCACCAGTAAAGCTAGAAAGTCACTGTATAAACCATACAATGTTTATGTACAAACAAAACATTTTAATAATGTGTTAGAATTATTCATTACAATTTTAACTGTAAGGAAGTTAAACTCGGTGCGGGTATCAATTTTACGATAAGAACAAAATCTTTACCAATGACACATCTTGAGAATAACATCTACTTTCCACCCGGCAGTCATCACATGGCCCCTATACAAACACAAAATAAAACAAATATAACAATATGAAAGCTGTCCAGTTAGCTTTGTAGGTAGAGCCTTGGACTGTGAATGGGACCACATGATTCCAAGATGGTGCAGGTTACTTTCATTGTGATTGATGATGAAATCTTTTCAACAGTCATTTGCACTGTACCTCTGCTCTGGCTCTTACAAATCTGGCCTCAAGATTATAAAACTTTTTCCCAGAGTTCTGTCTCAAATCTCAGGAATTTCTTGGTCATTGAATATTCTGTGGCAATTTCTGACCAATCAAATACCCGAGATCTGAGTTAGAGCTTAGAGAATTTCATTATAACCTTAAACTCAGATTTGTCATTGCAAAGGCTATCAACTAAAACAAAACAAATGTAATTCCTGTAACTAATAACAATGCCAGGGCTCTAACTAGACCAAAATTTTAGGGAGAAGTGACTTCTCCCTCAGCTCCTATGAGGGAGAAGTTTGACGACATAAGGAGAAGTGAATAAGTGCTTAGCACATTGATTTAATCTATAAAAAGGAGTTTTACCTATTTATTGATAGTGATATTTGAAGTTTAAATTCTAAAACCCTCTATCATCAGACCATTATAATGTTTTCTTCCTGAAAACCACACACCCCCCTCCCTTAAGAAAATATTCATGGTACAACACATACTGGCAAAATTCTCAATCAAAATTAATGTAAACAATACCTTAATAAACTACATTTTAAGTGCTATTGGACACATTTTAACAAAACAAATTTTCCTTTGGTAACTTTATTTTTTTCATGTAAAAATTGGCATCGCGAAAATATGTGACAAATGAAAATTTGTCTGTTTCCTGCAGAAACACTTACAATTCTAGTTGTTGTTGATTTTGATTATATTAAATTAAATATTCAATGATTTATATTTTTAGATTGTTATTCATCGGCTATTGCAACAGGCATTGTAAAACAAAATTTTCAAATTTGTAGTTTACCGCATAATTTACCGACGTTGATGTAACTTTTTGAAGACAAAGTTTACTGCTGTTTTTGACTTGTCAAAAATTGGTCTAATGTGGGTCAATATTTTTTAAGTTCTTTAACAAATTTCATTTTTACTATCAAACAGGTATCAAACCATTTACTCGTGCTTCTGTGTGTATTAATTTATATGCAAGTATATTTACACGGTCTGTGTGAGGTTGCGTAATATGGTAAGAGCAATTCCAGGTGTAATCTTTTTACACTCACGGATAAAATAGTGGCAGGTGTCGTAAAATTATGCTTAAAAAATGTGATGTTTACATCGGTGAATTAAATGGCAATAATGTCTGATGCATCTGCATATCATGTCACTTAAATGTGTTAATTGATGTCAATTATCGGCAGTAACTGTGCGTCACCAATTCAGTTTGATTTATGCCTGGAGGCGAGGATTAACTTAATTAACATGCGCTGTATGATCTTTATATGTACATGTGGTCAGTAAAAAAGTGCGGCGAAGTCGTTTTGGCTTTGATGTTCAAACTTGGCGAAGTTCTGAAACTTTAGGCGACTAAGTCACCCAAATCGCCCAGTTGCTAGAGCCCTGAATGCTCTATATTTCCAAATGTTTTGATAAGTCATTAAACAAAATTTAACAATTAAATGCAGGAAAATTTATGGAAAATATAATACTTACCATGACCTCCTTGTATGTTGTTAGGTCACATTGATTTGGTAGAATAGAAATGTCATCAGACAGAAGGACACTGTCAATATCCTGTATCAAACCATTGCTAGAAGCTATATCAGACTGGGTCAGGTTGATTCCATTATTGAACTGAACTTGTCCCTAGAAGATAAAGGAAGACAATCTATAATAATGGATTATTCCTATATATGATCAAACCATTGCTATAAGCTATATCGGACTGAAGATATATCAGATTCGGTCAGGTTGATTTGGTTATTAAACTGAACTTGTCCCTGGTAGATAATTGAGGATCATTTATAATAATGAATTTATTTTTATATATGATTAGTTCACTAACAAACAATTGTTGCAACTAAAAAATAGTAGGTACCATTTAAAAAACTGATATTTATTACCACTGAAACACTTAAAAAACATTTGACCATGTAAAACTAATAACAATTTATTAGCATCCATTTACCTAAAATTCAAAAGCATTAATGTTTTTACTAATAGTTTAACAGCATTATTACATTATAAACAGATTAACAGTATCAAATGCATTAAAAGTTGGACAATAATAATACGCATTTACAAATAGTTTAACAGCATTAATGCATTAAAAAAAATACAAACTGTTAACAGTTTAACAGCATTTATGCATTTACCAGAAATAAACAGCATGAAATTTATGCAAACAGTTAATAGCATTCATTAACTTACAAACAGCTGACAACATTCATGCATGCACAAACAGTTGATAGTATTGATACACTTACAAACAGTTTAACAGCAGTTATGCATTTACAAAAGTTTAAAACGTTAACAAATTTACAAACAGCATAAGAACACTTACAAACAGTCTTAATATATTAAATTAACAATTTGATTGCAAAAACAAACATTTTGACAGACTAAACACATTTAAAAACAGCTTGACACAAAAATAAACTGTTTAACAGAATTAATCATATTAAACAGTTAGCAGTATTAATGCAGTTTGACAGTATTAATGAGCTCTATTTGCTTCTTAGAATTAAACAATATCTTGATCTTCATGCTAGAAAACTTTTCTTCAATGCATATATACTGCCACATTTGGACTACTGCTGCACTATTCAGGGAAACTGCAGCAGTGATTTACTCTCACAAATAATCAAATTTCAAAAAAGAGCTGCTAGAATAATTTTGGACAAAAATTTTGATGCCCCATCAAATGAACTATTTAAAGAACTAAATTGGATGTCCTTTGACCAAAGAATCAGATACAAAAAGGCAATTCTAATGTATAAGTCAATAAATGAACCATCCTTTCCTAAGTATATGAAAAATAAATTTCAAACAGTAAATGATAGACACAACTTTAATTTGAGATCTGTCCAAAATGAAAAACTAATTGTACCTAAACCAAAAACAGAGTGTTTTAGGAAAACACTTAATTACTCTGGGCCTACAATATGGAATGACATTCCAATACATGTTAGAAATTCTGAAACTTTGAAAAAATTTCAAGCCAACTATATTCATTGGCAATTTTCCATTTAAATTATATATGTCAATTTTTCCATTTTTATTGTGTACATAGCTTTCTAAATATGATACCAAGATGACTATAACTTCTATAACTGTTTTGTTTTTTAACATTAGTTGCCTCATTAAATAAAGTCGTTACTTACTTACTTACTTACTTACTTACAAATAATTCTACAGTATTAATGCACTTACAAACAGTTTCACAGTATTAAAACACCTATAATCAGTTTGATAGTATTAAATGCACTTACATACAATCTGACAGTATTAATGCACTTATAAACAGTCTGACAGTAATAATGCACTTTAAAACAGTTTGACAGTAATAATGCACTTTAAAAAAGTTTGACAGTATTAATGCACTTACAAACAGTTTTAACAGTTTAAATGTACTTACAAACAATTTGACAGTATTAATGAACTTACAAATAATTCGACAGTATAAATGCACTTACAAACAGATTGACAGTATCATTGCACTTTAAAACAGTTTGACAGTAATAATGCACTTTAAAACAGTTTTAACAGTTTAAATGTACTTACAAACAATTTGACAGTATTAATGAACTTACAAATAATTCGACAGTATAAATGCACTTACAAACAGTTTCACAGTATAAATGCACTTACAGACAGTCTAACAGTATTAATGCACTTACAAACAGTTTGACAGTATTAAATGCACTTACAAATAATTCGACAGTATTAATGAACTAACAAACAGTCTGACAGTATTAATGCACTTACAGTTTGACAGTATTAATGCATTTTAAAACAGTTTGACAGTATAAATGCACTGATAAACAGTTTGACAGTATAAATGCACTTACAGTTTGACAGTATTAATGCACTTACAAACAGTTTGACAGTATTAATGCACTTTAAAACAGTTTGACAGTATAAATGCACATAAGACAGTTCAACAGTATTAATACATTTAAAGTTTGACAGTATTATTGCAGTTACAAACAGTTTGACAGTAAAATACACTTGCAGTTTGACAGTTTTAATGCAAAATCCAGCACTATTATAATAATGTACTTACTGTAAAGGTTACAGATACCCAGCTTGATATTTGTGCCAATGATTTTATTCTCCTTATATTGATGAGATCAGTGATTTCAATCTGAAGTGTAAATTAACACGCTTTTATCATGCCATGAAAAATATATACAAAACATTAGCAAACTTGCAATATAAGTTACACAAGTCCTATGTTTCTAGATTGGTTTAAATATCATGTGCGATTTGTTTATATTCATTAAAGCATCATCACTAAATCTGTAAGAGGAAAAAATCCACTACATCCGTTCAACATTTGTGGCCAAATTAGCAGACCTATGCTTTTTCTTGTTTTGTTTGGTTTTACAGCACACCAACACATTTTAGGTCATATGGTGTTGAAAGAGGAAAGAGGATTTTGGCTAACCTTGGGTGCTACAAACTTAAAACAACATCAGGGCTCAAAACCTCCTCATCTGCTGGAGGTGAAAGATGCATAGTCTCCAGTTGGATCCTATTTGAGCCGTGCCATGACAAAACCAACATAATGGGTTTGCGACCAGTATGGATCCAGACCAGCCTATGCATCCGTGCAGTCTGATCAGGATCCATGCTGTTCGCTTACCAACCCTATTACAAGTTGAGAAACTGATAGCGAACAGCATGGATCCTAATCAGACTGCGCGGATGCGCAGGCTCGATCTTGATCCATGCTGGTCGCAAATGCACTATGTTGGTTTTGTCGAGACGCGGCTCATTTAGTTGTCTCTTCAGATCACACAGGGATAAAAAGTTAATTGCAATTCTGATGCCTCAGTTGTAAAAGGCAACCACCAATTGTCTCATAAAAGGGATCATTTGTGCCAAGTCGTTAAAATAATTTTCATTGTTTTCATAAGTTTAAAAGTTATAAAGTGGACACAAAAATGTTATGGACAGATGTACAGATGGAGGTCATTTCTGTAATCCGCTTCCCATTTATGGGGAACTGGATTTAAATTACTCATAACTAAAACTCAGCACCTGGTATGATCATAATAGTTTAAGTTTTGTAATGTCTGCGTGAAGAAAAGTGATTGTTGCCATGTAAGATTATGGACTGTTACCCTCTGACATCACATAAGGCTATATAATAAATAACTCATTTAACATATAATAGAATTTCATATTCTCTCTTGTGCAATCATGTTCTGGTTATGGTACGATATAAAACTTTAAATGTGTAACAGTAGAAGCTAATGTTTTGTAAGAATAAATTCCAAGACGTATGACGTAAATCAAAGACATAAATCATGTTTACTCACAACATTCTGCAATATATGGTTCTTCAACAAGGTTATGAGGTGAGTCTTTCCCTACAAATACAAAACAAACAGTTATATAAATATATATATACATATAAATCAATTTTAATGATAATGGTAATATGGTGTGCATATATATTTCAATATATCAAGCACTATAAACCAAACAGAAATATCTTCATGATAAAAAACCAACATATTATATAAATGTGACACAGTGTCTGCAACTTATGACATTTAATCTAATCCCATTAAACTTATTATATAAGAAAATAATGTTTGCGATAAATTACATAATTTGAATTAATACCGTAGAATCAAATAAATAAGCGTATATCCACATCATTTTAATTCTGTAAAAAAAATTTTAATATGCGTTATAAATTGATAAGCACTAAAAAAAATAAGGACAATCTTGGGCGATTTTTTTTTTATAGAACAGAAATAAATGCAAAAGAAAATCGAGAAATATTCTGATAAATAAATTGAAAATCATATTTTTGTGCTATTCTTAGTTTTGGGTCATTGTATACATTTATAATAATAATTCTGGAAAAACGGAGCTAGGAAATGATTTGAACTTTTGGGTTTAGAACTACATCAAATAGAACATTAATCTCGAAAAATTATTTCTATTCCTAGCTTGTCAAAAAACCTCTGTGGAGTCCCTTTAAGAAGAGACAATGTAAAAACAAGAATAAAACACAGAAATGTGCAGTTGACCGTTTCCTTTAATTTCCTATATAAACAAGAAATGTTGAACGACACGTATGCCCCCTTTCTAGCCCTTGACTCACATTATTGGTAACTTTGTTACAGAAACTTGCCATAAATGGGTACATGAAAGAGTTCAGTAATGGAAAAATGAAAAATAATGACCTACTAGTTATAACCAATCAATATGTGAAATATAAAGACCTTGACCTTTTAACTAGTGACCCCATTATGCCTAATAAATATGTAAAATATGAAGTCTTTGTGATAAAAAGTATTCATGGTAATAAGCGGAAACCATATTTACATTTAAGGCCTTTGTGACCTTGACCTTTGAACTAGTGATACAAAAATCAATAGGGGTCATCTTCTACATATGGCTATTCAATATAAGAAATATGAAGACTGTGATAAACAGTTCTCATGATAATGAGCGTAATCCATTCTAACAGTTAAGGCAACTTAGGCCTTGACCTTTGACATAGTCAAAATAATGATGGAAATCATTCTGACATTAAAGGCACCTGTGACCTTGACCTTTAACCTACTTATCCCAAAATCAATAGGGGTCATCTAATAGTTATGACCAATTAATATGAGAAATATGAAGACTTTGTGATAACTAGTTTTCAAAATAATTAATGGAAACCATTCTGACCTTTAAACCCCAGTGACCTTGACATTTGCCCTAGTAACCCCAAAATCAATAGGGGTCATCTACTAGTTATGAACTTATGACCAATCACTATGTGAAATATGGAGACTTTGTGATAAATAGCTTTCAAGATAACAAGTGGAAACCATTCTAACATAAAAGGCCCCTGTGACTTTGACCTTTGACACAGTACCCCAAATTCAATAGGGGTCATTCTCTAGTTATGACCAATCAGTTTGTGAAATATCAAGATTTTGTAATAAATAGTTTCAAAGATAATCAGCAGAAACCATTTTGACATTTAAGGTCCCTGTGTCCTTGACCTTCGACCTAGTGATCCCAAATCAAAAGAGGTCATCTACTAGTTATGATAAATCACTATGTGAAATATGGAAACTTTTTAATGAATAATTTTCAAGATAATCAGCAAAAACCATTCTGACATTTAAGGCCCCCGTGACCTTGACTTAGTGAACCCAAAATCAAAAGGTGTCATCTACTAGTTATGAACAATCACTATGTGAAATATGAAGACTTTGTGATAAATAGTTTCAAGATAATCAGTGGAAACCAATCTGATATTTAAGGCCCCTATGACCTTGACCTTTGACCTAGTTAAATCAATCGGGGTCATCTACTAGTTATGACCAATCACTATGCGAAATATGAAGACTTTGTGATAAATAGTTTTCAAGATAATCAGCAGAAACCATTTTGACATATAAGGCCCCTGTGACCTTGACCTAGTGACCTCAAAATCAATAGGTGTCATCTAGTAGTTATGACCAATCACTATGTGAAATATGAAGACTTTGTGTTGAATAGTTTTCAACATAAACAGCGGAAACCATTCTGATATTTGAGGCCCCTGTGACCTTGACCTTTGACCGAGTGACCCAAAATCAATAGGGGTCTTCTACTACTAATTATGACCAATCACTATGTGAAATATGAAGACTTTGTGATAAATAGTTTTTGAGATAATCAGCAGAAACTATTTGCTCTTACCACCGGACAGACCGACCAACTGACCACCGACCTACTGACCGACATTAGCAAAATACTATCCCCACTCTTCTTCAAAGGGGTGCATTATAATGAAAAGCATTAATTTTATAATATATTGAAAATATTGTACGATCTTACAAATTTTTCAATCTTTGTTCAACTGTATCGTTGATATTTAAATATCTGCTTAATTTACCAGATTCAACAGTAATAGGTATAACAATGTTTAATTTAAAGTCCCATTATGCCTCAGAAAAGTGTTGATTTTTTATTCTCAAAAACCTTTCATTTTTAGTGTCCTTTTATTTTTTTCTAAAATTTTTTCTCACTGGCCAATTATCTGAATGATGTTTTGCATCTGTTGCTTTTTTGGCAACTAGTTTTAGTGATAAATATTTTGTATTGAAGTCAATATACTACTTTGTTTACATTTTGCTACTTTTATGACAAATAATTTCACATTCATTGATACTTTCTTTAGATTAGAAGCGTCTAACATGCTTTTAACCATTATTAAAACATCATAAAACTCCTGTTTGCCTTTCTAAAAAAAGAAGTACTAATTCATTTCTGAGGCATCAAATAAGCCTTTAAAATAATAAGTGTTCACTTTTGCCATTAGTATTTTTTTCTTTTCCTATTATCATATTCTGATCATCAAAGAAATATTTGAGTGTGAAATTAATTTCTATTTTAAAGAGTTGTTATAAATGTGGTAGACGTCAATTTGGAGATCAGGTGTTTATAATATAACCTGATAGGCTTGTCAATGGATGACAATTTTAAAATTATGAATGACAAAATTTGCTATGAAAAGACATTTATGATTCCTTTTTTTTCAAATATGCAAATATGCAGACTAATAAAAGAAAAAAAAAATAGTAAAGCATTAAAAAAGGACATGCTGAACAACAGACAAGAAGATGCATTTCATCTAATGCTTTAAGGCAACAAATAATTATATAATCATCATTTTGCAAGTCCTATAATTATCCAGTGCTTATAATCCAGTGCAGTTCTTATTTCATCGGGTTATTTTCTGTTGATGTTTTTCTATATTTTTATATTTTTTGTATAGGAAGGGGGGATGTAGGTTAGTTTGTTGGGGAAAATGGGGGTATCTTAGTCAAATAAGACATGGTTAAGAGGACAAACAGCAACTTTCTAGCATTATTCCATGCAATATTCAACAAGAGCCACCGCTGGGTGGGGGTAAAGCTCGACTTATTTTTACTTTTTCTAAAAGCAAACAAATAAACATTTTAAATCTTGAAAAAGATAGTTCAAGAAGTTTTTTTATTAATTTTTTTATTTTGATAGGTCTGTCTAATCACACTGGTTATTTTGTCCAAGAATGAATCAATTTCATGAATAAATGAAAAGTTTAGAAAATATAAGTAAACTTCAATCATCTTACCTTGATGGTCAAGGTCATTTAAAGGTCATGGTCATAACTAAATTATTCAACATGTTCATTTGGTCAGAAGTGTTGTTTTGTCCACATATGAATCAAATCTGTACATAAATAACAAAATTATGACAACTTTCAAAATTCAAAACTTTGACCATCAAGGTCATATAAAGGTTAAGGTCAGTTCAACCTTTTAGAAAGTCTTGTACAAGTATGAAGATAATCCATTAATCAATTACAAAATTACAGCTTATTTTAGCAATAATCAAAGATAATTCAATAATCTAACCTTCAAGGTCAAGGTTATACATGAGTATTAAGGCCAATTTAAGATTGATATGCATTGTACATGAAGGCCTGAATTAAAGTAAAAATCAAATCCCTATATAAACAAGATATGTTTGTAAAACATGTATGCCCCCTATCGGCAGCCAATTAGTCATGTGATCAGGTTATTATGACCCAGTGCACAAACAATTAATAAGGGTTATCTAGTATCTACTGGTCATGACTAGTCACAAGGTAATAATTATTGTGACCCCATAGGTTGTGTGCAGCAATTTAAGTTATTACAAATCTTACCAAATAATATATGCATACATTTTATGAATCATGTAGGCCTCATTAATGACAGCCAAGTTGTTATATTACATCAGACCTTCAAATGTGTATACCAAAAGCATTTTTAGTTTAATATAAAAATATCAACCAAGGCAACTTGAGTTGTTGAGTTATTGGTCAGAAACCGTCATTAAGTACAAGGTCAATATGACATTGACCCCTTGACCCCAAAATCAATAGGGGTCATCTACTGGTCATTACCAATCATCATACCAAGTTTGAAGTTCCTAGGCCTAAGCGTTCTTTAGTTATTGATCAGAAACCTTTTTTACCTACAAGGTCAATGTGACCTTGACCTTGGACCCCTTGACCCAAAAATCATTAGGGGTCATCTGCTGGTCATTACCAATCATCATACCAAGTTTGAAGTTCCTAGGCCTAAGCGTTCTTTAGTTATTGATCAGAAACCTTTTGTACCTACAAGGTCAATGTGACCTTGACCTTGGACCCCTTGACCCAAAAATCAATAGGGGTCATCTGCTGGTCATGACCAATCATCATACCAAGTTTGAAGTTCCTAGGCCTAAGGGTTCTTTAGTTATTGATTGGAAACCGTTTTTGCTTACAAGGTCAATGTGACCTTGACCTTTGACCCCTTGACCCCAAAATCAATAGGAGTCATCTTCTGGTCATGACCAATCACCATACCAAGTTTGAAGTTCCTAGGCCTAAGGGTTCTTTAGTTATCACTCGGAAACCATTTGGTCTACGGACCGACGGACCGACAAGTGCAAAGCAATATACCCCCTCTTCTTCGAAGTGGGGGCATAATAACAAAATTACGACAATTAAACCAAAATTCAATAATTTAACCTTGATGGTCAAGGTCATTTAAAGCACAAGGTCTGTTTTTCAACCTTTTGTTTTGTCCAAGAATGAAGATACTCCATATATTTTTTACCAAGTTCCAGTCAATTAAAGCAAAAATTAGTGGAAATTCAATAAAGGTCAAGGTTATTAATGAGCCAAAGTCAATTTGAGTTTGATTAACATAAAGGTCTTATTTAAACAAATGTTGTGTCTTAATATGATAACAATCCATTCATTAATAGGCATTAATCTATATCTTATAAAATGTTTTAATAATATTTATCAACAGTAAAGTTATATTGGTTTCATTATTATATCGTTGATTCCCGAAAAAGTTGTAAAATAGAATGTCTCTGTTATTTAACACACATGGATATTGTATGTAAACAGAATAAAATTTTGAAACTGACTATTATTTTCTATTTTAAGTAGGGTTTATCCATTTAGCAATGATTTTGTGCATGCGTCATTCTCTTTGAAGGCAATTATCTACCATGTTTATTTCATACAAGCATTTTAGAAGTATTCTTTTTTAAAATTCAAACAATAATTTTTGAAGCAGATATATAGCTTTATACACTTTAATAACAAAGTTATAGTCAGTTACAGCAAAATAATGAAATTTTCAATCATTTGTCATTCAAGGTCAAGGTCATTAATGAGTGAAGGTCAGAGTTTGTCTAGTTAACTTGAAGGTATATCCTAAAGATTGTTCTGTTCAAGTCTGAAGACAAGCCATTCATAAATAACAAAGTTATAGCCAGTAAAGTGCAAAAATCAAGCAAACTTTAGAATTTGACCTTAAAGGTCAAGGTCATTTATAAATAAAGGTCAAGTTTAGTCTTATTTAACTCAAGGTTTTGTCCCAAGGGATGCTGTGGCCAAGTTTGAAGACAATACACCGAGAACTTTATGTTCAAGTTATGATCATGATTAAAGTTTGTGAACGGCAACTGCAATGGGAAACCACAATGACTGTGTTCTATATTGATATATATTGAAACAGACTTTAGTTACTGGTAAGCTCCGCCTCCATAGCATGCTACATGTAACATCACTTGTGTATTAAATCTCGGAATATTAAGACGTACTCTTGTTGTCTCTTCTAGTTCAAATTATACAATAGTATATTTTACTGGACATCTCATTTGAGATATAATATTCTTGATAATATACTTGTCACTAAAACAAAACATACAACAGACTGTAACAAAACCTCTAATTTTTTCTTAGAAAAAAAAATCGAGCAAAAAACTAGCCAGATAGCTTTCTCATATCCGTGAGTTCATAGCATTCCAAAACCCCATTCATTGAAGGATAAGTGATTCCAACAACAAAACCCCTATAAAGTCCTTTTAACCTTTATCTACCACAGGCACCAGTACAGAGCAAGATTAGCTGGCTTTCTGTCTGTATGTATTTTAAAATTTTCCCTTATAATGATAAATGGTTTTGTCCAGATTGAAAGATGGGCAAGTCCATTCATAGTAAGGGTGAATCACCAAAAAATATGACAAAATGAAAAGTTGGAATCATTTTGTTCATCATGTTATATATAAACTGATTCTGTAATATTGCATATAAAAAAATGAATTTGACCTATATTGCTTCAGTAACATTTTTCATAGACCTTTTTAAGAAGGAAGATCATCGTAAGTTCAGATGAGTGTAACAATTTTACAACACAGTAAAAATTATAGAACATATTCCAAGTTTACCTTCTCCGATGTAAGAAAATCAAGCGAGCCAATTGGTAATGAATCAACTGCAGCATTATTAGGCACTAAAGCAGTCACATTCTGTGATGTTAGAATGTCTATAACTTCTGAACCAGCAGTCTGAAATATTTAGCATAAATACATTTTTTTTTCAATTCATACAAAAATGTTATGCTCTTTTTAAACACTTATTGTGTAATAATGGTGTATTTGCTTATAAAATTTCTGAGAATTAAAAGGATAAACTGCAAAAAAAGTATTTGTGCCAACTGGCAACTTTGGAATTGAGGAATAAATTAATTTGGGAAAAGCCAATGAATAAAAACTGAATTGTGAATTTGGAATTATTATTGACAACATTTTAGTAAATTAGAATGGTCTTGCAATGGGGGAAAAAGGACAATTAAGACATAGACGACTTTTGGTATATAGCCCTGAGCTTAGCATCCCATAAATAACTCAAAGACTCAACAAACGTTTACAATCTCATAACTAAATTTAATTGTCACAATGAAACACTGGGAGAACATTTCTCAGGAAAATAATGACTGAACAAAGTGACATTATGTTCATCCAAGGGTATATAGTGAGTGAACGTGTGAAGATCAAAATATGTTTTCATTTTGCCATAATCCCTTTCAATTAAATAATTAAGTTCGCAAAAAACAATAAATAACACACAGATCCGAATGAAATTTCTGTAAATGTCCGTTAGAATTTACATATAACGCTTAGATTATAAAAAGAGTGGGGCAGTCTTTTTAAATTTTAGGCAGATTTATAATTTTATCCTAAACATTTTCCAAAAACAACTGTTGGTCAAACACCATTTTGACAGTCAATCTTTTGAAATATAAAGTCAATTCAGCTCAACTTGACTATGAAAATATTAGCATAATGTCACTTTAATGAAAATGTTCATTTATAGAACACTTAGAGCAAAACAATAGAGCACATGGACTTTTTCTATCTTGCATCCTACTTTAAGTAAGATTGACTTATATCTATAGCAAAATACATATTTACTGAAAAATCTTATACATTACAAAATGAGTGTGTAATGCAACACTGAAGAACAAGCAAATAAAACCACTGTCAATTTATCAGTTATATACTGACAACAAATAGTTTTAGCAAAGCAACTGAAAAACTTATCATTTTTACCTACCTCTACCAGTGTCTCAAAACGATTGTACTTTCCATCCCTCTTTATATTTTCATATATCGTTCTCTAGAAAATATTGATTTCATATATATATTTTTTTTATAATATATTTATAAACATATTATTTCTAATCTGTTAATATTTAACAAGTTTATTTATGGCTGAATTGTTGTGTTGTGTTTTTTCACACTATTTGAAGAAACAGTGTAAGAACAATTTTTTCTATCATTCTATGCCAATGACATTTCCGTTTTATCAGTGACTTAAGCAACCATCTGATTCTGTCAAGTGACCTGCATAGCGCTTTGTGGTCAGTTTTGTTTTCACTATTCTTCGATTAGGTTAAACATATTTATTTAAGCTTTATAATACTGAAAGCTTATTTGAACTACACTAAAGTCTGCCTGTTTAAACAAGCCAGTACTCGTATCATGAGGAAACATGGTTGTGACACCACGAGGGATTAAACCCATGATCCATGAGTTGAGAGCAGAACATCAATCAACTCCCCACACATTACTTCCAACACTGACAGTCTGAAAGGTATTCTGGTACCAAGATAATCAAAGTGACATTATCTCCACCAAAGTGTAAATGGTGAATGTAAAGCTTAAAGTCAAAATATATTTATATTCTGCCAGAATTTTCCATTTTATATTCTGCTTTGCAAAAAAAAAAATCACTTACATCATCAGCAAAAATTTCTTTAGATATCCTTCATAATTTATCTGTAACTTTCACTTGATAAAAAGATTTGGACAGTTTTATTATGTTTCAGGCAGCTTTTATATTTTATCCTAATCAAATGTCATTTTCAATTACTGGCCATTATCATTGTTAAGTGTTTTTAAAATACAGCTAATTCAGGTCAAGTTGACAATGAAAAAGTGAGCATAATCGCCAACAGTACAAGACTATGCTCAGACTAAACTGGCCTGGCTTATATACTGGAGGCGAAGTCAAGAATAAAGTTTCACAGTTAACATTCAAACCAAAATACCTAAACACTATAACATATACCTCTTCACTGCCATAATTATCAGGTGCATTTGTCAGCAGTTTATTAATGATATGAATGATCCCATTGGAAGCTATAATATCACCTTTCACAATCTTTGCCTTCTTACTGCTTCCTCTGAGGCGGAACTTCAGTTGATCACCTCTCTATAATTATAATTTTAATGGTGAAATATTTGCAAGTCAAGTTTAAATTGATTTATTACTACTCAGTTGTAATTAAACAAGAGGGCCATGATGGCCCTGAGGTCGCTCACCTGTATATAGGCCCCCGGAGCGGGGCCAGTTTAAACCCCAGGGCTTTTATTTGAACAAACTTTGAAGACACTCATTAGAAGATGTTTCACAATGTTAAGTTTTTACTACACACATGTAATGAAAAACAATGATCTCCCCCTCCCCCCTGGCAGGGCCAATTTTCACCCAAGGGCTTTTATTTGAACAAACTTGGTAGACATCCATAAGAAGATATTTCATGCTAAACATCTAAGCTCTAGCTCATTGGGTTTTTTAAAAGAAGATTTTTAAGTTTTTACTACACACATATAGTTAAAAACAATGACACCCCTGGGGCGGGGCCAGTTTTGACCCCAGGGCTTTTATTTGAACAAACTTTGTAGACACTTACTAGAAGATGTTTCATGCTTAATATCTAAACTCTAGCTATTTGGGTTTTTTCAAAGAAGATTTTTTAAGTTTTTACTATATGCATATAGGGAAAATCAATGACCCCCTGGGGCGGGGCCAATTTTGACCCCAGGGCTATTATTTGAACAAATTTTGTAGACACTCACTAGAAGATGTTTCATGCTTAATATCTTAACTCTAGCTATTTGGGTTTTTTCAAAGAAGATTATTATAGTTTTTGCTATACACATATAAGGAAAATCAATGACCCCCCGGGGCGGGGCCAATTTTGACCCCAGGGCTTTTATTTGAACAAACTTGGTAGACACCCATTAGAAGATGTTTCATACTGAATATCTTAGCTCTAGCTCTTTGGGTTCTTTAAAAGAAGATTTTTTAAAGTTTTTACTATATGCATATAGGGAAAATCAATGACCCCCTTGGGCGGGGCCAATTTTGACCCCAGGGATTTTATTTGAACAAACTTGGTAGACATTCACTAGAAGATGTTTCATGCCAAATATCTTAGCTCTAGCTCTTAGGGTTTTTTAAAAGAAGATATTTAAAGTTTTTTCTTTCGGTTGCCATGGCAACCAGAGTTCTGCATGGAATTAAATTCTTTGAACAATTTTTAAAGGTGACCACCAAAGGAACATTCCTGTGAAGTTTGGATGAAATTGGCTTAGTGGTTTATGAGGAGATGTCATTTAAAGTAAAAGTTTACGGACGGACGACGGACGGACGGACGCCGGACGAAAAGCGATCACAAAAGCTCACCCTGTCACTTTGTGACAGGTGAGCTAAAAATGGAGATAATTTCAACTGAAAATACCCAGTACAAGTGTGATGGTTGAGACCCTATGAACCCTTAAACCCACTTTCAGTGGGCGGGTCAGTTACAATAACTACAAGACCAATTTTCTCTGTTTCTCAGAAAGAAACATTTTAACCCATATAAAGCTAAATATCTGAAATGGAATTGACATCTTTCAATCTGGACAAAACCATTCAACATATTTATTGAAAAATTCAGAATATATTCTGCTGAAATAGTAAACAGAACAGACCATTATCAGACTGCAGGAATCTGCCAGTTGATTTTGGTTTACAATGGCCGCATGGGTATATTTAGTCGCAACCGGTAGGCTTAAACCTCGTCACTAATAGAGTCCATTACAAATCAGCAGTACAAATCATGCAAAAACCCCGACCACTCTCTGTCAAATAGTTCTTACCCAATTCACCATAAGCTCTGCTGGAGTACCTTGAAGTGTATGGAATTCAGACTGATTCAGTAGTTTTTCAGTCTTAAACCAACCAACCACAATGTGTTGACGCAAAATTTGTCGTACTTTCACTTTATCATTCAACCATTCCTGATACTGAAAAATAACAAAAGAGTTTTGTTGAAACTCTATGATTTCAGTTTCTGATTTTAAGCTCAAAAGTTTTTTATAGTGAATTCGAAAACATTTGGCATGAATTATGACATAGTCATTAAATGAATAAAGACTATAAGAGAAAAAACTTGTGTGTAAAGGAATACAGATTAGTGAAGTTACTTCCCCTATGTGAAGGAATACAGATTATAAGTGAAGTTACTTCCCCTATGTGAAGGAATACAGATTATAAGTGAAGTAATTTCCCCTCTGTGTGAGGAAATACAGATTATAAGTGAAGTCAATTTCCCTCTTTGAAGGAATATACAGATGTATAAGTGAAATCACTTCCCCTCTATAAAGAAATACAGATTATAAGTGAAGTAACTTCCACTCTGTGAAGAAATACAGATCATAAGTGAAGTAACTTCCCCTATGTGAAGGAATACAGATTATAAGTGAAGTAACTTCCCCAATATGAAGATATACAGATTATAAGTAAAACTTCCACTCTGTGTGAAGAAATACAGATTATAAGTGAAGTAACTTCCCCAATATGAAGATATACAGATTATAATAAAAATAACTTCCCCTCTGCCATCTTCTCTATAATCATAAACTTATGCTGCTATTATGAAATATTACATGCTTTATATATTTATTTATAAAACTAAAACTATGTAAAAACCATTTTAATACGAAAGGACTGTTAAATTCTTGAACTGATGGCTTAAACATGTATTTCTCTTATATACACTGTAAACTTTATAAAGGACAAAAAATAACCTTTTACAATGATCAAAAAGACAAAATAGCAGCATATGCATATTATTTGACAAAAAGATAAAAACAGAGCTAATCTCCAATTGCTTATCCAATTAAATAATGTCCCAGGTTTTACATAAAGCCTAAGGTAAACAAGACCAATGTTCTTTTTTTCATATCAGCTTATTTGAGTTTATTTGATAAACAAAGTGATAAAATTTAAACCAAGCACTTACACTTTTCTACTGGAAAAACAAAATCTAATCACTTATGACAAAACCTGACTGTGACCCACAAAGGACTAGAAACTACCATCCATTCTTTATGTTTTATTGGACCACCTTCTAAAATTGTAACTGTTACAGAAAGTCTTTACGGTTCCTAAAAAATAAGTAAATTAAAACAACATGGTAGGCTGTACTTACATCAGCTGTGTTTATAGTACGGAATCCCTCATTGGTCGAGACAAACATTGTAAAAAATGCATGCTGGGTAAGTTCTGTCATGTAGTATTTTTCTATAGCACCCTGTATCAAGGTCAATTGTCCTTTAAGATCAGGATCGTCTTCATCTAGGTCCTTGATTGTCTGTAAAAAAAGTATATTTCATTTTAAACAATTTATGAACTTTACCACTTTCTGGCAGTTTGTTAATCATATTGACATAGAAAACAAATAACACTATAATTTAAAACTTTATGGAAATGACGTATAAGTATTGATAATTCTGTAAAAACAATGCATAGGTCTAGTTTCTCTTATTTAACCCCAAAGGATTGTTTTTGAAACAGCAATGTAGATTTAGTTAACAATATGCAGTAAATGACAGATCCCTGCTCTGACCCCTTATCTAAATAATAATAGATTAAACCACAAACAGTTACATGTGTTTTTCTGTTACGAAATATTTTGTTGTGAAATTCCTACTGTAATAAACTAATCTTACAATTCAAATTGATTAGGGTCATGTAGGGATCTCTGCATAAATCATGTTTTTACCAAGATGTTGATGTTTTTTGTCAACTGTTTTGTCTTACAAACATTTCGGTTTGTTATATTCAGATGCCAGTGCATAAATAAAGAGCTGTCAGTAGGACAAAAATCTGTGTCAAACTACAAGGTGGTTGTTAAGATCTGATATGAAGCGGTACTTGTTCAATTGGATTTTACGATACACAGACACAGTACAGGTTGTATGGCGGCATTCAAGCTTTACTGGAAGAGGAAGACCTTACGTGCTCTTCCATGCATTATTCCAGGCACAAGCGGGCACCTGGAATAGAACCACTGATGTTCCATAAGCTAGCTGGATAGCTTCCTCATATGAAAGAATCTAAAGTCCCTGTCGGGATTAAAACCCAGTGACAGCCGTTAGGGACATGTAGTTTGAAGTCAACAACCTTAACCACTTGGCCACGGAGGCTCCATGAAGTGGTATCTTAATGAAGTTGTACAAGAATAAGTTGCTAACCAAAGTGTTGTAACACAAAGGTCTGGTTGAGAATATTTCATGATGCTACTGTAAGAAGTTCCAATCATAGAAAACAAAGTAAGTGTGCCCAACTCCCTTTATAATAACACTGTGAGATTGACAATATTTTATACAGTAAAATGGATATTTCGCCATTAACGTATGTTCAATGTTAAACTAAAAATTTTACCTGTAAAATGTTAGCAAAACATTTAGTCTGTCCGTCCCCTTCATAACCATCATTACAGGAACATCTAAAACACACAAAATATTACCAACTATGTGTACATGTACTATACAGTGTAAACATAATATGATGAGTAATTAGAAGTTCTAACAAACATCTATCTGTTCAATCTTATATCAGGCTAAAATTATTTAATGGTTTTACAATTCTCATCAAATCAACTGTTTTTTTATTAAGAATAAAACATAAAATAACTTGGCTGAGGTTGAACAGTGCTTGCAGCAAAGAAAATATAATACACGCAAAGATTGATATTAACATTGAAAAACACTAAGTAGCAAAATTAATGATTGCACAAATTTCAAAGCAGGTCTGGACAAGTCTACAGTGTACAGTTATTTCATGGGTGTTTGTGAAACAGTCAAAACTGTTGCCCACTGGTATGAGGGATGATATTTTGAAGTGTTGCCCTTGGCTTTGACTGTTCAACAAACACCCATTAAGTAACTGTTTTACTACCAAATGCTGAAACCTACAGACGTTTGATTTTCTAAAAACCTCTACAGTACATTAAGCCGAGCGACGTTTGAATACCAAAAAGTGGCGGACGGCATTTATGGAAAATACTCAATGACAGGTGAAACAGTTAAAAATGTTGACTTGACAACAGTTCATTTTGTCAATGAGCATGCACAGGATTTCAGCACTTCAATTAAACAGTTGCAAATAAGGAATAAGTAATCATAAAAGGCATTAGGTAATAATAATGACTATTAAATTCTTGTCACACTAAAATCAAAAGAAGATTAACTTGTGACAAAGGCAAGTTACCCAGTATTATTCTTGTTGCCACATTGTAGTTCCATGTCTCACAATAAAACTATAGCAAAATATTTGTCGTTTACTACAGTGCTATTCTATATTCCAAAACAAAAAAAATACTTGCCAAAGATAACATAATGTATTACCTTATTTCATTTGGGGCAATGGTCTCACATGTGGCTTTTACATGGCAGGCAGAGGTATTTAGTGCACACTGATCGATAAGGGAGCAACCCGAGTCTAAAATGTGATTTTCGTACCCATCTTTACACAAACATTCCCTCTGAAACAAACAAATATCAATTCCATGAAACAATATTTATACACTGTCACTACTGCTTACAAGGAAATATCTGAGTAAATGAAGGCCAAGGGGGATAATTTAGTCTTATACACAGTTCATGGAAAATTATTTGTATTCCAACAACATTTTGTCAGCATTATGTGCCTACATGACAGCATAGAAAATGCTTTTTCTAGAACATGGTTTTTTACCATCACTTAATACTTATCTCTAAAACTTAAAAATTGTATCTAAGTCATTATACATGTGTTTAACATTTCTTACTTAAATAATTCATTTTTAATGATTCATGAACTGATTACAAAAAATTGTTACAAAAATAGATCCTGATATTTTGAAAAGATGAAAAAAGCTCTCTAGATGATAATTAGGACATGATTTTTCGATATTTACACATTTCTGTAACTCATTACCTTTCCAGGTCCTACATAGTTACATTCTGAAGTGTCAAGGTCACAGCCTCCATTATTAACCTGACAAAGGTCAATGGGGTCACACTGGTACCCATCACCATGGTAACCACTGTTACAAGTACAGTTTTTACCAAGTCCTGACACATCAGTCGTGTTAGACAAAGCACATGAAGCATTCACATGACATAGTGGTGATTCCAAACAAGCATCAATTTCTGAAAAACACATTTATTTCTAAAATTGCTAAAATAAAATAATAAAATTTTGTGCCAACTGTATACGGGAACTATGTGCTAATTGTATGTGGGAACTATTAGCCAATTGTATATGGGAGCTATGAGCCAATATACGTGAACTATGTGCCAAATGCATATGTGAACTATGTGCCAATTGTATCTGGGAACTATGTGCCAATTGTATACATGAACTATGTTTATGCAATTTTATATGGGACCTATGTGCCAACTGTATATGGGAACTATGTGCCAATTATATACAGGATTTATGTGCCAATTGTGTACATAATCTATGTGCCAGTTGTATATGGGCACTTAAAAAAAAATAATGTGCCAATTGCATATGGGAACTATGCGCCAACTGTATATGGGAACTATGTGCAAATTGTAAATGGAAAATATGTGCCTGTTGTTTACAGGAACTATGTTAAAATTCTGTTATTTTGTTATACTGATACTATCAAGGTGATATGGCTACATTCAGCACCCCTTATTTCATAATTTTAGCTTATAACTCAGGCACCAAACTTAAGTGTGTTTTTTTTCCAGTCTGAATGAGTCAAATTGTGAAAATAAGTGCCAAAATGCCATCATTAAATTTTGGTAATATATCCCTGTTTTATACTGTTCAAATTTAGCTATTAGATATGGACAAACGGTTAAAAAATTGTTAGAAAAAGTCTAGATTAATAATAGAATTCATAATTTAAAGTCATAATTTAATGTCTCTTTTTCTCATGTTTTTTACTCAATGACAATTCTATCAGTAACAATACTTTGGCAATTTTGACAAATATTTTTTAGGCCATATTTCAACTCCATACCTTTGTGGAAAAAAAAACCTACTGGATTTAACAGATCATAGAACAAACATACTTTAATAAACATACTTTTGCTTATGTGACAGCTTTATAACGAGAAAGAACTAACAGTCCTAGGTAGTCTTACAACACTCATATTTATATGCCAGCAAGTCTGACTTCACACCATTATTACTCAAATTTTCAAGATTTGATTCCTAGGTTCCCTTATAGAAAACATCATGATTTTAAGCTTTGCAAAAGGACTACTTTCAATTTTCTGTTTTTCAATTCAATTCAAATTTCAACTGTGTTGGCAGTGTTGGAATAAAATGTTAATTTGTTTTAATGAATTCATATTGATATTTTTTGATATGCCTTTAAGAAATATTTAACAATTTCATGTATGCATTTATTGATTAAATTGGCATATACCTTTACACACTTTGGTTGTGTTATCTGACATGTTACACATACATATAGCTTCTCCATCTATCACATAACATGTAGAATTTTTGGGACATATGACATCTGTACATAAATCCTTTGTGGTTTCTAAAAACATGAAAAGAAAACATTTTATTTCGATAAAAGCATGTTAAAAATTTTGAGAAGACAATTTTAAATGAAAACTAACATATTAAAAGTTTTTGCATCAGCATATGTTTTTGCAATTAATTTAGCGAATTCTATTGTTTTTGTTGTAATTCATTTTCTTTTAAATACATAAATATTTTAACATGCACATAGATCAACTATGCATATAATATTTCAAATCTTTCAAATAGCATATCAGATTTTGACAAATTCTATGCTTTTTGCTGGAATTAATTTTATTTCGGGGGGGGGGGGGGGGGGAGGGGGAAGGGGGGGGGGTTACATGAATATTTTAACATTTTCATAGATTTAATATGCAAATGTTATTTCATATCTTTTAAATTACAAATCAAATTTTGACTAATTATGAAATCATAATGCTGTCAAACAAATCCAGCTTGATGGAAATCTTTATTATCACTTGTGTATAAATAATAGAGAAGAAAACATGCATTAATAGATTCTCATGACCAAGCAAGATTGCTCCATGTTTTCCAACATATGCGACACAGCCTAGGGCCAAGTGTAAGCTTAATGCAATGACGGCCCCTGTGGACTTGGGCTTTAAATGTGTCCTAGTGTTTCTTCAGGTGTCAATGCACTAAAACAATGGAGCACAACTCTCTAATATATAAGTACGCCTTTCTTGTCAATTAAACATTACTCTGCTAAATTTCTTAAATGGACTTGTCTACCTTTCAATCTGGACAAAACCATTGATATTTTTTTGGGGAAAATTTTGAAAATATGTACAAACTGAATAAAGGGAACAATGCAGACTATGATCAGAGGGCACAAATGTGATGTCATATCTTGATCTGCACTGTTGCCTTCAGCAGGGCCGGCAAAATCTGACTGACTTACTTGTTCATCTTTATCTAAAGCACTTCTTCACTTGCCATATATTTTCATAGCAAATTGTAAAAAATTTCCACTTGTCTGTACAGGCTATGTTACAACCAGGACAATACGCACAATTGATTTTGCAAAACCTGGATCAGCAGGCTTAGAGTTAACAACTTGTCAATATCGAGACTTTTTAAAAGCCACTGGTATTGAATCACTAAAAACACTAAAATATTATGCAAATAGAGCTTGTGAAGCCTTCTTCTTTTTTCTTTTTTTTTCCACTTTCTCATACAAATAAACAAACCATTAATTACATCATTCAAACATTAATTACCTTGTGTGCAGTTTTCACCACCCATTGAGCTGTTAGTACAAAACTCGCAGGCATATCCCGTTCTTCCATCCTGAAAATTGGTACCAAACTTATATACATTTAGCAGTTTATAAAAATTTATATTTCATATACAGCAAAATATAAAATACATGTACTCAATTATTGTAAAATATCATTATTTCTAAGAACAAGAGCCACCGCTGGGCGGGGCAATGCTTGACTTTTTCACTTTTTCTATTGCAAACAAATAAACGGTTTCAAATCTTAAAGAAGAAAAGTGAGCAAAAAAATTGAAAATTTCATTAATTTGATTTTCGAGGTCAAGGTCATATATCATATAGAGTGAAAGTCAAAGTCTGACTGCTTAATTTTAAGGGTTATCCTTAAAGGTTATTTATGTTCAAGTTTGAAGACTATTCATTCAAAAATAACAAAGTTATAGCCAATAAAAGCAAGAAATAAGTAAAATTTGGATATTTGACCTTGAAGATCAAGGTTGTTTACAAATGAAGGTCAAGGTTAGTCTGGTCTACTGAAAGATCTTCTCCCAAAGGTTGTTTTGGCCAAATTTTAAGACAATACCACAAGAACATAAAAAATTATGATCAACATACAAGTTTGCAGATGGCAATGCCAACATGACTGTAGCAATACCTCTACTATTTTTTGAAAAAAAAGTTGAGTAGCTAAAAACTAACAGATGTAGAAAAGACAGAGCTCTCAGTTGTTTTAATAACCAGTTTGTTTGTTTGTTTGGTTTATGGCACACCAACACAGTATAGGTCATATAGAACAGAAACAGGAAAGATAATTTTGACTAACCTTGGGTATTGCAAACCTCAAAACAAAACCTGGGGTCAAAACCACCTCACCTGCTGGAGCAAAGAGGTGCATAGACTCCAGTTACTCAAACCCATTTAGTCGCCTCTTACAGTCATGCAGGGATATAAATGGCAACTGCAATTCTTTTGCCTAAACCCTTAGCCGCAAGGAGCTTTTAAAAACCAGATCGTTAAAAAATCATCACAATAAAAAATAACTATCATCATAATTGAAATGCTTTATCAACAAAGATTTTACATTATACTATAAAACACATTTTCTGGCCTTCTTATATTTTCTACACACATGATTTCATTGATCTATGATTTATGATTTATGTAAACAGGGAGTTTACTAAACATCTTTGTGATGTTGTCATATTTCCATGATTAACACTTCTAACAGTGGCATCAAAAAGTAAAAACATAAAATAATAAGAATTGCCTTATTTGTTGAATTTAGATAAAATCGTTTCAAACTTAATTCTGCTTTAAAGAATTGATTAGTAAAATTACTTAAGAGTTAATGTGACCTACCTCACATGTACAGAATCCCGTGCCATTTATAAGATCAGAGCACACCCCATGTCCATTACATGCCAAGTCATATCCTCCAGGACATTCTTGAAAAAAAATAAAATAAAATAACAAAATCTTTTGGGCACAAAGATAGCTGGGTTATCCTTATTGCTGGAAATTTCCAATGTTCACAATGGGGAATAACTCACTTACATTATAATGTTATATGCTAGAGTTATGTGTCTTGAATGATTGACTACAATTATGACATGACAGACATGTGTAAAGTTTAAAAACAATACATTCAGGGATAAAAGTTTCATGCAATTGTTACCTTTATTAAACAAGGAATTTTGTTTGTTCATATAAAAGAGGTCATTAGAAATTCATGCAAGGGTAATAGAGTATAATTATGATCCTGACAACATATGTAAAAATCTAAATGCCAACCTTCACCAAGCCTATGTATATGTTTATTTTCTATAAATTAAGAGTCACTTCAAGCCAACTCCAAAGTGTTTCAAAAGCTAACACTCTATGACTATGCAACTATTTTCAAATCTTTCTTTCCATACTCGAGCTCATAATCTATCTATAAAATGGGTCAAACTTTTTAAATGTTTCTTTGTCTTTTGCAGCAATTTTGGGAAATGCCTTTTAATGGCCTTTTTGGTATTTTTTATTTGAATATTATTTTTGGCGGTTCAATATCCAATCAAACAAAAATTCGTAACAGAGTTACCAACGCCCCCCGCCTCGGGGAAGTTTTATATGAAGCATAAAATTGTGCTATTTCAAAAGATTGAGGTATGGATCTCAGGACTTCCAGTCAAAAATTATGATCAATGCTAGATCTGCAAATGCAACAATAAATTTATTAAAGAAATAAAATGATACACAGAATTTAAAAATCTATTATATCAAGCTTTGACCTCTAAGTGTCCTTGACCTTGCAGGTAGGGGTCGGGTGTTATGCATGACTATCATCTTATTATTGTAGCTATTTGTGCCAAGTATTTTCAAAATCCCTTGAACTATGAAGAAGTTATAGATCTGACACAAAATATACCCTATAACAGACTATGTTAATCTTTGACCTCTAAGTGTGACATTTGAGGTAGGGACCCATGTTTTGCACCTGACATTATCATCTTATTATTATGATTATTTGTGCAAAGTATTTTTAAAATCCCTTGATCTATGAAAAAGTTATGGACTGGACACAAAATATACCCTATAACAGACTATGAAAATCTTTGACCTCTAAGTGTGACCTTGACCTTGGACGTAGAGACACAGATGTTACGCATGACATATCATCTTATCATTGTGACTATTTGTGCCTAGTATTTTTAAAATTCCCTAATCTATGAAAAAGTTATGGACGGGACACAAAATATACCATATAACAGACTCTATTACCCTTTGACCTCCAAGTGTGACCTTGACCTTGGACGTAGGGGTGCAGGCCTTACACTTGAAATATTGTCTTATAATTGTGACTATTTGTGCCAAGTTATTTCAAAATCCATTGAACTATGAATAAGTTCTAGATCGGTCACAAAATATACCCTATAACAGTCTATGTTAATTTTTTACCTATAAGTGTGACCTTGACCTTGGAGGTAGGGATGCAGGTGTTGCGCATCCTCTTATTATAGTGACTATTTGTGCCAAGTATTTACAAAATCCTTTGAGCTATGAAAAAGTTATGGAACAGACTCAAAATATACCCTTTAACAGACTATGTTAATCTTTGACCTCCAAGTGTGACCTTGACCTTGTAGGTAGGTGACCAGTTTTTGCTCATGACACATCGTCTGATTATTGTGAACAATTGTGGCATGTATTTACAAAATCCCTTCATAGATAAGAAAATTATGGACCGGACACAACATATACCCTCAAATAGACAATGTTGACCTTGAATTAGCAAGTGCGACCTTGACCCTGGAGGTAGGGTCTGGTTGTTGTGCATGACGCATAATCTTATTATAACAAACATTTGTGCAAAGTTATTTCAAATTCCTTTGATAAATGACAAAGTTATGGACCGGACGGACAGACGGACGGACGGAGCCTATTTCTATATCCCCCTTTTTTCTTCGAAAAGGCAGGGGACAAAAGGGGGAAATCTGGAAGGGTAATAAAGCTACATAGCTAAAAAGATCTAAGGTCATAAAAAAAAATATTTACAAATATCAAAATGAAAACTTAAGTACATTAAAAAATGCAGTCAATACATCAATTTAAAATGATGATATAAGCATAATATAAACTTCAGATGACATTATGAAAGACTATAGTATCACAAAAATCTACAACAAAAATCATGAAAAGTTTATATAAAAATAGAGGGAAAAAAGGATCTTTTTAGCAGATTACTACACCTTAATAGTGTCAATCATTCTGGCCATTTTATCTAATTAAGATTATGTTTCATTATTTTACATAAACTGTATTGTACAATTTATTGTATATTTTGATATAAAGTATACCAAAAACAGTTAATATTTTGTGACATATACCAGAACATTATCTTTAACCACTTTAGTTTACTCAAAGCTACTTAAACAAGGCAGTCTGAAGGACAGCTAAATCCCCTTCCTCAGCAGACATGACCTTTAACCAACAATGACCTTGATGTTGTGCCATCAAGCACATAGTCTCATGATAGTAATTATTTGTGCCAAGTTATTAAAAATTTCCCATAAAGTCAAACAGTTACATTTAAGAGAACATTTAACCTCGACATTGGGGGAAGCAACCTGGATGTAACTAGGGGGTAGCATCCTGAATGTTGTGCTCTCCAGATTGTGTCATGGTGGGGATCATTTGTGCAAAGTATTTTAAAAACCTTTTAATTGTCATTAAGTTATAGAGTGGACATAGATGTTTTAACATTGGACCATTGAGTGTGACCCTGGCCTTGAGGGTTACAGGACTCGATTGTTGTTTTCTGCACATGGTGTCATAAAGGTGATCATTTTTGCAAAGTTATCTCAAAAACATTGCAGCGGTTTAAATATTATGGAGCGGACACAAAATTGTTGCACAATTATTGCACTCTGCAGATTGTCTCATAATGGTGAGCACTTGTCACAATGTGCCAAGTTATTTTAAAAAGTTTTCAGTGGTTTAAAAGTTATGGAGAGAACACGAAAGTTATACTAAAGGACACACAGACAGAAGGACGAAAGGACGGAGGCCATTCCTATAACTCCCTCCCCCATTTGCATAAGGGGATAACATTTTAAAACCTTTGAATTGTCAATAATTTATAGAGCGGACATGAACAATAGATGTTTAGATTTAATATTGGACCTTTAAGTGTGACCTAGCTATCCCTTGTGGATAGGAACCCAATTATTGCGCACTGCACATCGTCTCATAATGGTGATTGATGACTTGTGACAGGTTATTTCAAAAAAATTTCAGTAGTTTTAAAGTTATGGAGTGGACATGAAATGTAACAAACTGATGGACAGACAACCGGACATGATGGACAGACAGACGTGCGACTTAATAGGGATAAAGGACCCTCACTATTGTTCTTTTTTTTTTTAATAATAAGTGGGCCATGGCCCGTTATATTCTATTGTTAAGGATTGAATTCTTTTGTTCTGTTTTCAGTTAGATGGCCCACTATCCCTAAACGGTAGTGCAGACTGACAGATGGAGGCCTAGTCAAACTAATTAGACTTGTCAAAGAGACACCGAGATAATTTTGGACGGGCGCTGTCTTTTTCGTTTGACAGTAAGAAAAAAAAGTCTGTAAAATGGGTCAAACCGTTAACGCCAAATTAATTAGGCTAGACTAATGGAGGCCAGTCCTATAATAAGGGGATTAACAAATGAATGAAGTTGATTGATTGATCACTAGACAATGATAATTGCAGGTGTTTATAAACTTATCACCACCATAAAACCTTAAACTCTGACAATGAAGGTGTTGATTGGATTAAAAAACCTGAAAAAGTTGTTAAAAATTTAAACGTATCATTCAATTTAAATCTTTTTTTAATAAGTCCGTTTTCAGGAATATTATTGTAACAAGTTGGCTTGATATCAATCAAATTCATTGAAATATCAATTCAATGACAATCTTCATCCAGAGGATTTCACAATTTACTAATTGTTTGCTTACATATTTTAAAAGAACTTTGGGGGGGGGGGAGAACTGTCTGCATATTTCAGATGGGGGAGAGAACTGTCAAAGCAGATAACGGTTCAGGGAAGAACCTTCAGGGAAGGCACTGGTAAGGGGGAGAATAGTCTTTTCTTCTTGCCTTGCTCTGGGATTATTGTTTTGTCCCAGCCGTAGCTGATCATTTTTTCTTGAAACATGCAAAAAAACACATGTATAAAATATATTATTTAAAAAACTGTTAGCATAAAAAACTTTAAATCTAATTAGCTGCAAGCTGTGCATTTCAATTTAAATATGTTCTTGAAATTTTCATCTGCGTTGACAGTTTCGCGGGAAAGTCATTGAAAAGCCGATATCAAATTTAATGGTGGTATATACGAATTTAAAGATTTTAACAAATTTAAAATTAATATGGGCCTAGTTTTTTTAAGTAATCAGATAATATATACACTATTACTGATTAAACAGTATATACTATCAAATATCAAACAAAAAGTGCTTACACGAACATTTTATTCATTTCATAATCAAAACGAAAGTGAAAGTTAAAATTCGAATATGCGGAAAGAACGGCAAAAAGGAGATGGAGGATAAAGAAGTTGTCAAAGAGTTCTTGTGTTACAAGTGCCAATTGAAGATAAAATATGATTATTTTGGAACAAAACCTCCATTTGCTAAGTCATTCATGTAAGTAAGGTAACAATTTTATTGCTTAATTTGTTGTTAATCTTGAAAACTATCACAACGTTCAGCAGTTCAGTGAAAAGGTGAAGTTTTGAAAATAAGATAATTTCAAATGTCTGTTTCTTTTTGTTCGATGTAGAAAAGTCAAAGCTCTTAAAATATAATTGACACATAGAATGCATGCAAATCAAAATAAAGACAAATATCATATTGTTATATGAAAATTTAGAGATGTCTGTATTATAACTAGCTGTATATCCTGTCTGTGAGTCTGTATTCATCTGTCTTGTAACAGTGTTGGACTAGTAACAGTGTAATCTAATGTTAACAGGTAAAGACAACATTAACTGTTTAAAAGGTAAAACACATTGTTGCTACATTGAATGTACTTAAAAGACACTGTCCTCAAGACACTGTCCTCATAGCTGAAAATTTTATTTTAAGAAGTTTTCATGCAGTACTTTCTATTTTACTAAGTCAGTTGGGTTCCAGATGATTGCATTTATTCATATTTATAGTGTCAAGTTCATTTCACATTGTATTCATACTTAATAACTTATGCACATACTCTAACTCTACACTTTAAATTGATCAAACAGAATTCACTCAATTTTCCTCATTAAACCTGTATATACATGATTGTAGTTCCAGTTAACCTGCCAGAACTGTAAGTGATAAGCCTTTGTGGACTTAAACAGTTCATGCAACACTTTTTTTCACAATCTAACTATTAAGTTCAACAAACTACTGTGTGTGGATAGTTAACAATTTTTTTTAATTCAAACACACTTACCGGTTCAATTTAAAAACTTCATTTATTGAAATTAAATTGTATAGCACTCTGATATAAATAAAACATATACATGTACACATTTATAATTACAGAAAAATATAATTAGAGAAAAAAAATATTTTCAGTTATTATTAATGTGTACATAAACATGTGTAACACTTAATACAAATACTCTAAGTAACTCTCTATCTATACCAGGGTATTTAAAATTTCTATTTATAATTGGAAATACCCTGCTTAAAAAGTTAAAATGTAGCTTCTTAAACGACCCGCACACAACTGATTAAGCGCCACATACTGGATATTATATCCTACCCTAGAAAAATAATGTTAACCTTATGTTTTCAGTTTACTAGAGGACACCTATGTTATGAAAGATCCATTTTCAACTGAACTGGGTATGATTAGTCAAGGATCTCACTGCAGCCAGTGTCAGAAGTCTGTCTGCTCTTCTGGGGTATTCCAAATTTATATTTCATTTAAATATCAATTGCTACTGGAACAATTTAAATTAATGACAAGTTCTAGGTTAACGTTTGTTGTGAATGTTTGTTTGGATTTTTAAATTTTTTCAAATTTCAAATTGGGAAAAATAATCTGTTGTAAATTGGGAAAAAGTAAAGTCTAAAGCTAATTTACTGAAATGAAAAATTACTTTTATTGCTGTGAAAATATGCTTATTGAGTGCTTTCAATTTAAAAAAAGAAGCTAAATCTGGTAATATGCATATAAAGTTTATCAATTTTCTAGAATTAAAAAAAAATCAATAAATTTGGGAAAAACTATATTTTGCCTCTTTTTTATATAGATAATCAATGTAAATATACCGTTATTGGTATTTTTTATGTACTATATAAATAAGAAAAATACATAGTATAACTGTGTAATATATACATCTATTTCTATCACCAAGAAAGATTTCTCTGATTTTTTTATTAGACCAGAAATAGAACTATTTTTTGCGGCCTTGGCACAGGATTCGTGTCATAATTTAATTAAATTCTATAATTTATACATTTCAGGAGTGCAGTATTTTCTACACTAAAAGGTTTTGTTTGCCCTGTGTTCAAGATAAAGTAGATGAATTTCCCATAGAAATACAACAGGTACTTCCTCTTCCTTGTGTCGTATATAGTTATTTTATGGCAAAAATGATATATCATTCATTGTGTATACATGATGTACATGCACACACAGACCTATATTTATTTGGAGAGGAATCTATGACATCATACAGTTAAAATCTGAACCATGCAAGTTAACATTTTTTGTGAGATTTCCCGAGACCATGTTTGTCATCTTGAAATTGCAAAGAATTTTAATTGAAAATTTCTATAATAATTATTAATGTTTTTGGGGGCCAATATGATTAATTGGAAGAAATAATAATAAAATGGAAAATGATCAAGACCAATTAACAACATAAACATTTGTTTACATAAAACAAGATGGTGGAAATGGACCGCTTCAAGGGCGAATTAATCTCTCGCAAAGGATTGTGGGTCTGGCCGTGAAAAGGTTCTATTTTGGGAGCTTCTTATCCCTTTGTATATAGGTATCTGATGCACACATGGTTTTATGGAATCTATTCACTACCAATCATTTTGTTTTGAACCCTTAATTAGCAGCATGTCTCCAGATGAGCCAAAATATTTCAAGATAAACATACTTTGGAAAAACATACTAAGATTGTAAGAAAAGTAAAAAGATTCAATATTCAAGTAATAATTTATATGTTATGTGTGATTAATGACCTTGTATATTTGTCACCATATTTCTACTGCATTAATAGCACAGTAAGGGCAATTTATTCATATTTTGAGTCTTTTTGGTAATTGACATGGGTTGTTAATGCTGCTGGCAATGTGTACATTACTTCCTTTGTTCAAATCACAATATTTTACTTTTAAATACATATTCAAAATTTTCACGAAAATCAGGATGAATCTGGAGGCATGTTGCTTTAACCTGCTGGAATAAAGAAAGTTACATAACATTTTTAGAAATTATAAGGGAGACCATTGTCTTGTCAGTTTTTTTAGCTCACCTGTCACAAAGTGACAGGGTGAGCTTTTGTGATCGCTTTTCGTCCGGCGTCCGTCCGTCTGAGCAAACATTTGATATTTATGAGCTTCATTCCGTAGTTAAATAAAGAACAAAAGCTCATAAAATTCAAATTAAGAGCTATTTTCCGGCCGGCCGTTCGTCCGTCCGTCCGTCCGTAAACTTTTACTTTAAATGACATCTCCTCATAAACCACTAAGCCAATTTCATCCAAACTTCACAGGAATGTTCCTTTGGTGGTCACCTTTAAAAAATGTTCAAAGAATTTAATTCCATGCAGAACTCTGGTTGCCATGGCAACCGAAAGAAAAAACTTTAAATATCTTCTTTTAAAAAAACGTAAGAGCTAGAGCTTAGATATTTGGCATGAAACATCTTCTAGTGAGTGTCTACCAAGTTTGTTCAAGTAAAAGCCCTGGGGTCAAAATTGGCCCCGCCCCGGGGGGTCATTGATTTTCCCTATATACATATAGTAAAAACTTAAAAAATCTTCTTTTAAAGAACCAAAAGAGCTACAGCTAAGATATTTAGCATGAAACATGTTCTAATGGGTGTCTACCAAGTTTGTTCAAATAAAAGCCCTGGGGTCAAAATTGGCCCCGCCCCGGGGGGCCATTGATTTTCCTTATATGCATATAGTAAAAACTTAAAAAATCTTCTTTTAAAGAACTCAAAGAGCTATGGCTAAGATATTTAGCATCAAACATGTTCTAATAGGTGTCTACCAAGTTTGTTCAAATAAAAGCCCAGGGGTCAAAATTGGCCCTGCCCCAGGGGGGTCATTGATTTTCCCTATATGCATATAGTAAAAACTTAAAAAATCTTCTTTTAAAGAACCAAAAGAGTTAAAGCTAAGACATTTAGCATGAAACATGTTCTAATAAGTGTCTACCAAGTTTGTTCAAATAAAAGCCCTTGGGTCAAAATTGGCCCCGCCCCGGGGGGTCATTGATTTTCCCTATATACATATAGTAAAAACTTAAAAAATCTTCTTTTAAAAAACCATAAGAGCTAGAGCTTAGATATTTGGCATGAAACATCTTCTAGTGAGTGTCTACCAAGTTTGTTCAAATAAAAGCCCTGGGGTCAAAATTGGCCCCGCCCCGGGGGGTCATTGATTTTCCCTATATACATATAGTAAAAACTTAAAAAATCTTCTTTTAAAGAACCAAAAGAGCTACAGCTAAGATATTTAGCATGAAACATGTTCTAATGGGTGTCTACCAAGTTTGTTCAAATAAAAGCCCTGGGGTCAAAATTGGCCCCGCCCCGGGGGGTCATTGATTTTCCCTATATGCATATAGTAAAAACTTAAAAAATCTTCTTTTAAAGAACTCAAAGAGCTATGGCTAAGATATTTAGCATCAAACATGTTCTAATAGGTGTCTACCAAGTTTGTTCAAATAAAAGCCCTGGGGTCAAAATTGGCCCCGCCCCAGGGGGGTCATTGATTTTCCCTATATGCATATAGTAAAAACTTAAAAAATCTTCTTTTAAAGAACCAAAAGAGCTAGAGCTAAGATTTTTAGCATGAAACATGTTCTAATAAGTGTCTACCAAGTTTGTTCAAATAAAAGCCCTGGGGTCAAAGTTGGGGGGCCTATATACAGGTGAGCGACCTCAGGGCCATCATGGCCGTCTTGTTTTAAATAATAAGGGAGACCAAATTAAAAAAAAGGCTTTTGAAAAACTAAAAATGAATGCATTTCTGGGGCATAATGGGCCTTTAAACTTAGATTTGACTGTTCCAAATTCAAAGCAGGGCATATCCATAACACAAACTTAGCAGGTTAAATTTAAATTTTTGAACAATTATGTTAAGACATACTGTATACATTTTGTATTTGATGATATTTTAGAGCATGATTTGAAAGTAGTTGACAAAATTGATACATGTATAAGTATAAATTTAATAGGGTCAAAAAGTATACCAGATCACCTAACACTGATCCAAGATGCTGTATAGCCACAACTGTAATGGTTAGTTGGATTTTACCTTGCACCAACAGAGAATGGCAACTTTCCAGCTTGACTGGTAGAGGAAGACTTCACTTGCACCCCTTGCACCCCTTCTTTCATTATTTCAAACACACACAGGCATCTGAGCAGAACCAACAACATTCCTAAAGCCGGATAGTTTCCTCACATAAAAGAATCAAATGTCCCTGGTAGGATTCAAACCCACAGTAGTGAGGGGCAATTGATTTAAAGTCTGAGACCTTAACTAAATGACTATGGATAATCCACAACTTTATTAAGGCAATGTTCCTGAAAATATTCAATGTTTAATTATAGTATTGAATATGGATTTTACATTTATGTAGAAAGTGTTTACAATATTATATAATATATGTAGTTACCGTCACAATTTGATCCCCAGAATCCTCGGCAGCACTGGTCAACTGTTGTATTCATTTCACAGGTGTGAGTACACCCGTCCTTTGTTATATTTGGTCCTGGACCGAGATGCAGTTCATATGTACAATTTGACGTACCTTCCATCCTTGTTAACTGCTTGGACCCACTCGGACAGTCTTTGAAAACATTGATGTGACAGGAAATGCATTCTGTTTCAAAAGTCATCGTCTGTGTTTCCGGGCAAAATCCCATTTCATTTCCTTCGACAGTCATGCCATAAAGTATTAAACAGATGCTTACAAATCTAACTAAACTTATTGTTTCAGCCATTCTCTGTTTTTATTCTAATTATGTTATATCCCTATCATAGAATTCACAAAAGTCTGGAAAAAAAATGAGAAATTCAAATGTATGAAATGCTTGTCACCTAAAATATTAGATTTTGCATTAAGAAATGATCATTTTTTTATGTGTATGGGAAAATGAATACATAAAGAAACTAAACATACTTCAGTTAATGTGCAAAGTGCTTTAGCTGAAATACGAGTCAGACATACAAGAGAATTACAGGAAGTTTGTAAAAGTTCAGCTGCAATAATGACTTATTATAAATTGTCACATTATAAGTACATAGTACAGTTTTCCACTTCCTTTAGGATTTGGTAATTAATTGATCACAGGGCCTTGTACTGCTAAGCTCCTACTTTCTACTTGAAAGTTGCTTTAAAGGGGATGTTTTTACCACAGTCATTCAGATTAAGGACACAATTAAATGTTTGTTTCACAATACAATGTATAATAGATGTATATAAGATGTCTTTTTTATTTTAATGAATAAAATTGTTATTGTTTTATGTGTTCTTAAATTAAAGAGATGATGAAACCAGTAAGTGCTAGATATTATGAAGACATTTTGTTACCAACTAAATGAATAGAAAAAAAATGTTTCATGAAAACAAATGTAGGGTTTTGAAATAGCCTTAGACAAAAAGTAATTGCGCTAAAAATATAGTTTCAGTTTATTCCCATGGCATGATTAACTTACCTCTGATTTTTAATATAAAATACTAAATTAGATGTCTCCATAAAAGTGTGTCTTTTGTGAGGGAGTTTTACATTGTATGCGTATGGCAGCCCACATTTTAACAGTATCTTATCTCCCTGTCTCAGATTTTCATTTACAAATCAGCGTAGTGAAACATTTTTAAGTTAATTACTGGTTTAAGAAAATAAGCAATGTCCTTGATGGGATGGCACTCAGACCTGTTCCATTACTGAGAAAAGATATGAGCCGCGTCACGACAAAAGCAACATAGTGGGTTTGCGACCAGCATGGATCCAGACCAGCCTGCGCATCCGCACAGTCTGATCAGGATCCATGCTGTTCGCTATCAGTTTCTCCACTTGTAATAGAGTTGATAAGCGAACAGCGTGGATCCTGATCAGACTATGTTGCTTTTGTCGTGACGCGGCTCAATTATATTCATCAATTACAGTACTCTGGTATAAAACAGAGGACTGCCTTAGAATTATTTTGTCATATACATGATATCCAGCTAGCTTATGGAACATCGGTGGTTCTACTCAGGTGCCCATTCATGCCCGGAAGGGTACCTGAGGTCTTCCTCCACCAGTATAGCTGGAACATCGCCATATGACCTATATTGTGTCAGTTTCACGTAAAACCCAATCAAACAAACAAACAAATATACATGATATCAACTATTGGTCAGTCACATGTAACTGTATTTATTAAAAAATTGTTTTATTTAACCCTTACCCCACTTAATATCTTAAATGAACATGTCCATCTTTATATCTGGACTAGACCAGTCATCTTTTTTAGGATAAATTTCAAACTATGTATTGACTGAATTCTGATCTATGATCAGATGACAAAGATAGTCACTTTAGTGCATTAACTGGTTAACTCAAATTGATTTTAAAAAGACTTAGGCCATTACTGCACGAAGGTGCCAGCTGATCTTGGTCTGCTCTGGTCACATGGGTTGATTTTATTGCCTGCAGCATCCTTGATAGTGATAAATCATGGACAAGATTTTGGATAAAAATGTTTAAAACTTCGCTTTATAGTACCTATATTTGCATTATATTTTCCATTGAAATACTGTATATGGAAACACTACATTGTATATTATGATATTTCAGGAGTTGAAGAATAAAGCCCTCCGACAGACATCAAGATGACAAGTAAAATCCCTCATATATGGTTTGTAGAGTATTTATACAGACTGCTTTCAGAGACGTTTTAGCTGTAGTTATACAACAAGGAATATAGTATATTGGACTGGTTTTCCTGGGCGATAGGACATTGGACTGGTTTCCTGGAAGTGGTTTTCCCTAAAGATGGGATATTAGAGTAGTTTTTCTGGAAGAAAGGATTTTGAACTGGTTTTCCAGCAACAAAGGATATTGGACTGGTTTTCCCAGGACATAGCATTTTAGAGTAGTTTTCCTGGAAGACAGATATTGGACTGGTTTTCCTAGAAAAAAAGGATAATGTACACCTTACAGAAAAGGCTGTTTGTTGTGTTTATTTACAAAAAGATTTTACATTTGACTGTTTTGGAATTGTTTAATTATGAGGAATATAAGGCATTAGATTGGTTTCTGATAATTTCAACTACATTTTTACCTCAAGAGGAAATAGGATTCTGTGTTCATCTTTAGTTGAACAACAGGAAGATAGGACATTGGACTGCTTCCCTGTGTTCAATTTAGTTGTACTACAAGAAGACAGGGCATTGGGCTGCTGTCATGTGTTAAACTACAGTTGTACTACAGGAAGGTAGCCCATTGGACTGCTCCATGTGTTAAACTATAGTTGTACTACAGAAAGATAGCCAATGGACTGCTTCCACGTGTTACACTACAGTTGTACTACAGGAAGGTAGCCCATTGGACTGCTCCACGTGTTAAACTACAGTTGTACTACAGGAATAGACCCATTGGATTGCTCCACGTGTTAAACTACAGTTGTACTACAGGAAGGTAGCCCATTGGACTGCTTTCCACGTGTTAAACTATAGTTGTACTACAGAAAGATAGCCAATGGACTGCTTCCACGTGTTACACTACAGTTGTACTACAGGAAGGTAGCCCATTGGACTGCTTCCACGTGTTACACTACAGTTGTACTACAGGAAGGTAGCCCATTGGACTGCTTCCACGTGTTAACTACACTTGTACTACAGGAAGGTAGCCCATTGGACTGCTTCCACGTGTTACACTACACTTGTACTACAGGAAGGTAGCCCATTGGACTGCTTCCACGTGTTACACTACACTTGTACTACAGGAAGGTAGCCCATTGGACTGTTCCACGTGTTACACTACAGTTGTACTACAGGAAAGATAGCCCATTGGACTGCTTCCACGTGTTACACTACACTTGTACTACAGGAAGGTAGCCCATTGGACTGCTTCCACGTGTTACACTACAGTTGTACTACAGGAAGTAGCCCATTGGACTGCTTCCACGTGTTACACTACAGTTGTACTACAGGAAGGTAGCCCATTGGACTGCTTCCATGTGTTAAACTACACTTGTACTACAGGAAGGTAGCCCATTGGACTGCTTCCACGTGTTACACTACACTTGTACTACAGGAAGGTAGCCCATTGGACTGCTTCCACGTGTTACACTACACAGTTGTACTACAGGAAGATAGCCCATTGGACTGCTTCCACGTGTTACACTACAGTTGTACTACAGGAAGGTAGCCCATTGGACTGCTTCCACGTGTTTAACTACAGTTGTACTACAGGAAGGTAGCCCATTGGACTGCTTCCATGTGTTACACTACAGTTGTACTACAGGACGGTAGCCCATTGGACTGCTTCCATGTGTTACACTACAGTTGTACTACAGGAAGGTAGCCCATTGGACTGCTTCCATGTGTTACACTACAGTTGTACTACAGGAAGGTAGCCCATTGGACTGCTTCCACGTGTTACACTACAGTTGTACTACAGAAAGATAGCCCATTGGTCTGCTTCCATGTGTTAAACTACAGTTGTACTACAGGACAATAGTACATTGAAATTCTTGTATGTCTTCAACTATAGTTTTACTACAGGAAGATGGGATTTTGGACTGCTTCCTTATATGTTTGATTACAATTTTCTGAATATTTTACTTCATGGTGATAGAACGATATTTTTATTGTAATCAAAACATTACCTCAGTACAGGAGAGGTTCTAAAAAATCTTTCAGCTTTGTACTTAATCAATAAATATTTAGTACAAATGTGTTATATTTGTGTTGTGTATATATATGTATGATAAAAATAAAATCTGGTTAAAACGAAATCATGATTCAATTTATAAGTAATTGTAATGTGATTGACAACAGGTTTTAAAAGATATTAAGCTCACCCTGACCATCATGCATGGCCAACAATTACAACATCTCTGAAACCAATGACTGCATAGTAACCAAACTTTACAGGAATGATCCTTGGGCAGGCCCTTTCAAAGTTGTTTAAATGGTTCTGGTCTGTTGCATAAGTAGGTCACAAACACAGAAAAGGAATTTCGAAAAAGCATATTTAAAAAATCTTGTTTGAAAGTACAATGCCCAAAGCTTTTATATTTGGTATATGATATTATCTGTATGTCCTGTACCAAGATTGTTCAAATTATAGCCCTGGGTTCAAAAGCAGTCCAGTGACCAACATCATTCAATTTCTGTAATAAACACCAACTTTCACTGCTTTCACACAGATAACAGTCTGTCCTCTAGTGAGTGCGTTGGGAACCCCGTGTTTTTTAATGTAATTACTTTGGTGAATATGTAATTTTTGTAATATAATTGGTTACTTTTGAATCTTGTTTCTAGTGTTTCACCACCTATATTATTGAGTAAAAACTACTGACATTATTTTGACTACCATAGAAAGTACGTTTTCCATAAAGTATATTGACATCGCTATTTTAATACAATTTGCATTGAGTTTACTATTCGTGGAGTTTTGACCATCGTAATGCTATTCTCTGACACCATTTGCAATTTAAAGGGACGTCACTAAGTTTTACTATATATCTTTTTAAATGATGAAGTTACTTCCCTTACATCATTGTACAGTACACTATTTTGCAATTTGATTTAATCTAAAAAATCTTTTTATTCACGATTCATGTTGCTTCTCGCTTTATCAGTTTTAACTTACATGACGTACAAGATATTTCAAGTGAAATAGCCACAAACAATTGACACAAGGAAGGCGTGCCTATAGACTTCATTTGTGTATTTAAAAGGAACATAATAAAACAATAAAAATTTCATACCGTACGGTAAAACGTCAAAAGTTTCCGAGTCAAGTCTTTGATTTTCAGGTTGACAATCTGACTTCCCGGTTTCATAAGCTTTGCCTTCTTTCGTATTAGCAAAAAAATGGTTATCTTTTCAGCTACAAAATCTACCTTATTGACCTTGTAAAAATATTACACACACAAAATTAATATACAAATACAAATCTATTCCAATGTTTTTAAAGTGACTTTGTTGTAAAGAATTTTCAGTCGTTTATTTTATTGTAAAAATGAGCAAAAAGTTAAATGTAAACCATAAAATTTTGTATTTTGATCAAGGATAAAATGGAAAATCAGAAACCAATATAAAATTAACGTGTATCTGACTTATGCGTAAGTTATCTCCCCTTGAATGTCCTGGAAATGACAGAAAAAAGCTTCAAGGGCAGATAACTCGAAAACGAGCTCGGTGACACCATTTGTTTTCACTTCTTATGTCTCTCTGTAATCTGCTTTCTTTGATGATGCAGTTTCAATAAACTACTAGTACAGTATAGTTTACAGTTTTCATTATTGTAGCAAAGACCATTAATGTCTTTTTTGAACATAATTGGGAGCACGAATTTAATTGAAATATACAGTATTGTGAGGTGACAGTTACTTTTTGGAAGATATGAACATTCTTAAGGGTTTTATTTACTTAACTTTATTATAATGTAACTATTGTATTGGTATAAACGACATTATGAAGTTTTCTGTCTTGTAGAATTTTTATGATTGCTTACAATGCTAAGTATAGTCTTGTTGTAAACTTCCCAGAACTTGGAAAGAACATACATTTTGAACATATGATTCCTTGTTGATCATACATCTGTTTTCTGCTCGGATCCAGAAGGTTCATTTTAGAGTAAAATAAGAACAAAATTTGAAAAAAGGTCCGGAATTCGGGGTAGACAGGTTTCGGATCCGGAAGTTTTTTTTCTATTGAAAATAGAACGAATAAAATTTGGACTGGACACTTTGTTCGGATACGGAAGGATTCCGGATTAGAAGGGTTCGAAGAAGCAAGGCTCCACTGTATGATATATGGGGCAAAACATTTGCATTAAAAAAACTCCACTGAAGTCCAACGGCATAAAAACATGAAATTTGAAAATCTTACTCATACACGTAACAGGAAAAAAAATCTACAAAGAAATATACTCCTAATTAGATTGAAACTCGATAATTTTATTTTATACTCAACCGATGTGAGTGAAAAGCGTTGCGATGCTTTTCATTTTTAGGCCATTTTTTCACAATAGATATGATTATTCTGGAATAAAAAATGTAAGAGAATGAGCTGCAAATTTGCCCACAAGTTATTATAGATAAGACCTAGATCAATTTCAGAAAAATATTTTCAGTCAAGTCATGTAAAAAAAAAAAACAACCTCTGTGGAGTCCCTTCAAAATAATCCACCAAATAAAACTAAAATAATCTACCAAATAAAACTAAGGATTCAGTGAGTAGATAAATAGTTGAGGTGATGATGTTTTTTATTTGCATACATGTATATAATCGCACCAATTCAGCCACAGGCAATATATAGAAATATAGAAATTCTATAAATTTGACAAATGATAAATTATTCTGGTTCACATACATGCACGGATGTTGATATGAAATTCTCAATACAATGTATAATTACAGATAATTTGTCCAGTTTATCCAACCGTTGAAGCAGCCTGAAGAAGAATAAAACAGTAACAGATATTATAAAATTGTTATCTTTATATGCTTATATATACATGTATTTACATGGTGGAGATGTTGTTTTGTTTTCGTGATTGTGATTGAAGTCGCACCCACATTAAGACACTTAGACCCATTGACCTCTGGACCCCTTAGGATATTAGAATGACTTCTAGTTTTCGAGATGTCATGGGGTCAATATGTCATAGAGACCACTGTAACGGCCATAGAGGCGAGTGTAGGAGAAACTCACACGCCTCTCCTTATTGGAATCAATTCACATTAACTGATGCACGTAAATAAAACTTCACATGGACGAAAGACACGTGATCTGAATGTCAGCGCACCAAGAAGGCCCCTTCATGTATATTATTACATAGTTAGAATCTATTACAGGAAAATTAAAGACATCAACACCTATGTATAAAAGTGGTCTTGGTAATGGAAAGTCTTTGTTGACAGTTGATCTCTCAAAGCTGACAAGATCTGGAATAGTTCGTCGCTAATTTTAAGAGATGTGGATGTAAAGCTATTGAATTTGACTGGCCAACAGAATATTGAAGGTGTTCTGACCTAGCTCTCTGAATCTAGCTTTGGTAATTATACAATTAACTAATTATTACCTGTTTGCAAGACTGGGGTAGATCGAATACTTGATCATAGCTATTTTGATATTGTACCACGTCCACTAATTGCACAGTCTCTGTGATCTTAGTTCCTGTAATGACAATCATAATTATGAGCCGCGTCATGACAAAACCAACGTAATGCGTTTGCGACCAGCATATATAAACAAATATTTATTTTGTAGATTCGTTCGGTTTTTTTTTTGTTTTGGATGTTTTGTGGAGGAAGACCTAAAGTGCACCTCTGAATATTATTTCAAGCACCCTCTGTACATTGTTCCAGACACAGACGGGCACATAAGAACCACCGGCGTTCCATCAGGTAGCTGTATAGCTTTCTTGCATGTAGAATCCGAGGCGCTTGCGCGACTCGAACCTTCAGCGGTGAGAGGGCAAGTGGTTTGAAATCGATCTTTACAACTCGGCCACGAACGCCTCAGCATTGCTTCAGTATAGTTTACTTATGATTATCTGCAGAATTCCTTACCGTCAGCCATCATGCCCATTCTTGTAGAAGACATAAATATACATTCATTGACTGTTGTTGTCATGGTAACGTGTTGACCACCCACAAAGCCATACCAACCATTTACTTCAGTAGACCCATACATATATTTTCCGGTAAAGTTTAACTCCCCTATAAAATGATTAACACTGAGATTAAAAACATATGCTATACAGTTACATATAAACTTGCAACTCTGGTTATATTTCCCAAACAACAAGGAGTCATATAACTCGTCAAAAATCTTGATAACTACATGTAATAATATTTTTCATGTAATTTTGCTATAAGTTTATCATGTGTGAAGATATGAAGCATTGAATCAAAGAAAAATAATCAAACGAACAAATCAAACTTATAATGTCTTACTAGAAACACATCCATCAGGCATTTCTTCACCAACAATTTGAGTAATCAGGCATTTGTCACCATCTATATTGTAAGTCTTCATCTAGAAATAAGAAAAAAAATCTTTTATTAATAGATTGCTGAGATAAAGATACGTTTGGTCATTTGCATAACAGGATGTAACTCTTAGTAAAGTAAGATGCATGCAATCTATGTATGACATATCTTCAAATTTTATGCCTGAAATTGTATTCAGTTAACGAACAAGTCTTGCTTTATTCGCTTTCTTTTCATTAAAGCTGAAACGTTTGTTTCTGTCACAAAAAGAAAACATTTTTGCACTAAAATTGTTTTCTGTGGAATAGATTTGAAAGTACCATTTTGAAGCCACGTGCCATTTTCTATATTTACGTGAAGCTTGTGAGGCATTGATTTGAGTCACTGTGAGGGGCACAAATTTGTTGCCCATCTGATATCTATTTGGACAACGCCGTTTCAAACATTCAGATTTCGCGAGCTATTATTGTCCAGTGGTTTTATTATTGTCGAGTGGTTTTATTATTGTCGAGTGATTTTGAATGCAATTTGAAAAACGATTGAATGAAACAGTCTATTTCTTGGTATAGGAAAATTCTCTGATTAGTAACATACCATATATCACTTTATTTTAATACGAACTTTGCTGGATACAAACATACGCGTAATAACCAAAATTCGATTTAATCGAGTGTGACTGTAACGTATTTTAGTTTATCCTTTGTCACATTGGTAAGTTGTTTTTTTTTAGAGTCTTTACTCGATTTAAAAATTAAAAGTGGTCTGTATTCAACCAATGACCAGAGTATTTACTTCTTATATTACAAATGAATCATAAAAAACAATCAATTTTCATGTTTTCTTGATCATTTTTCTTTTCAGTTTGTTGTTGTCGATGACGATGTCGCTTTTTCTCAAAACAATCGACGAAATTTTATGGATCATAATTCTTCTTTCAAAAGATTGTCACGCAAAAGAAAAATTTAACTGATATATAAAAATGCCTATTAGGGTATACTTACATGTTGGAAATCTCGAATTACTTGGTAGTTGGCATGGGTCGAGCCGGCTGAAGACATTGTTATGATAGATCCATTAACAGCTTGCATTTTTTTATCCACATTGCTTTCCACCAGAAATGAGTTCTGTATTGAATCGTAAATAAAGAAATTTTGATTAATTTTTAGATGTCTTCTCGTTGCCATGGTAACATGAAATTTAAGTCTGAACATGCCGTTACAAATGCGATGGTCATGTCAATATTGGTGCCAAGTATGATCAGTATTAAGGCATTTTTATAGTTTCGTAGCAATTTGAACTCCTAACAAAAGGCTTTCCAATGAAAGCAGCCATTTTTCACAAACTGCTCAAGCAGTTATGGTTTAAGTTATCGCTATCGTCTGTTTTTAATTATCGCCTGCTTTTTAGTTATCGTCTGCTCTATAGCAACTTCAGAACGTGAAAGACTTCACAAGAATTTGAACATCTCTAGGAAAACTAACAGAAGCAGCCCAAAAGAATTTGTAATGCAGAGGTTTGCTTATAAGTGTTTTCGAAAAAATAAAATGTGAAAGAAAAAAACAAATAAACATTTAGATCTATGAACTTTTTTGTCAAGTTTTTGAAAAGCGAATATCAAAAATATTTTACACTTAATGGGTGATTTTTTGCACACATAATAATGATATATGGATACAATAAAAGCCAGGGTCAAGCCGCTGTTTCTTTGAGCAAGAATCTTTGCACTCATTGCTCAGTACTGCTTGGTTCCAGGAACGGATTCTAAAGTGTGTTTATAAGCTTATTTAAAGCTTACTACACAAACGAACTAAAATAAATTCTGTATAAGCCAATAAAAGCTTTTTTGGCTCATGACTAAAATGAATAAATCTAATTAATGTTTTATGTTCTTTTTTTACTGCTCACGCTGCTATTTATATACATAGAGTATTCAATAACATTCAATAAATATATGAAATTCAAACTTGTAAAATACCTGCGTCATCACAGGGCTCGAACTTCCATTTTTCAATGTAGCCGTCACTATCAAACCTTTTCCATAGATTTTCTTGCTCATACAGCAGTGCAGGTCGGAAGCAGCCGTCAAGCCGACAATTACCGCGAAAACTAAAACAAAGTTACTGGCTAGCGACATTTCTTCTTGTTCTAAATGTAATGAAATTTCCGTCGGAGACAAACTGCTTTTATACCAACTTAAAGAGTATAGTAACTAGCTCAAATGATAAGAGGCCAACTAAGGCACGTGACAATATCACTTTGTATTTAGCACATTGACGTATAAGGATTTCGAAATAAGATTTTTTCTAATCACCATGTGAAGATGACTAATCGGAAACATCAGGCAATCAAAGAAAGCTTGAAGTTTCAACAGGGAAATAAATTTACAAGACAAATATTTGTAAATATACATGAATATTAAAGCGATCTGATTTGATTGTTTGCGTCCGTATTCTACAATTATTGAGTTGTGTAACAATTTACTGTACCCCGTTCTCATCCCTATGAAACAGCAGGATTTGATTAATCAAACTCCTGGTCTTACACCACCATCCTGGGACTGTCGGATCCACACAGTATACTGGTCACATCGCTCTTCCTTAAACCGTCTCTCAATACGAGTTTCAAATTTAATGACAAATGTTTTCAGTTGATTATGAAAAATAAGTAATTGTCTGAATGCAAAACAAAAACGCCGGAAAAATACACTTTTATACCCCCTTCCACCGCCCCCTCCCCCCATTCCGCCGCGTACCCCCATTCCACCGCGTGCTTTTGTCTGTGTACTGACACGATACCCTCATCGCAGTCATATTTGGGATGACTCGGTAGGGAGTTGTACAAGGACTTCCTGTACGTGCTTGAAGCAGGCTTTCCAAGGCCAAGCCACATCTACGATTCTGATGTTATTATGATGGACGAATTACTTATTCTGTCACATTTTACATAAACACCAATAACACATCTTTTTCATGAGACCATTTTCCAATCGCATTTTTCATACACTAAAATCAACCAGCAATACGACATTTCAGGCTCATTGCCTAACTACAATGTTAAACTTCATTATTACATAAATTAGCCATCGTATTAAAGTACGTAAACTGATTTAGAATAATAAGAATGATCTGATTATTATTATTATTATAATTATTATTTGTTTATTTATTTATTTCACATACCGGCTCGCTGTTTCACGGGTAGCCAATTTTTTTTTAAATGCATCGTGCACGCATGGTAATCAAACCAACTCTCTGTTCAAAATTATGCAGCTATAAATTGAATTTACGATTATTTATCTATTTAAAAATAATTTATATAAGTGGCAACATAATATGGCGCATTATCAATGAATTATAAAATTTACGTTATAAAAGGAGACAAGGACATTTGATATGTCTACATTTTACAAAATCACGAAACTTTGTCTAATCTTGTTATAAATTTATCTTATACGAAAACATTTTACATTTATAATCTATGAAGTCGTCATATTACTGCTTAGCAACTGTAAGATATGTTACTAAATTTATCCCAAGATATTTAAACACATTTTTTTCATGGTTTTATATCATAAATATGATGCTCAAATTAAGATTTATCAATTTTGTGAGTTCCAAAAAGCATTATTTAGAAAGATATTACCGACTTTAACATTTCATGTATATAAATGGAGGTAATAAAAGATTTATTTTTCATAAAAAGTAAGTCAATTTTTTGTCAATAAGAAATGAATGCATGTATTTTAATGATTACATGTACTTTTGATATGAACAAATATTTGCAGTACATATTTTACATATTCTTTGGTGTTTGAAAATTGTTTTATAAGCATAATTAAATACACATATATATAAAGTGTGGTATGCAACCTCAATTACAATATACAGAACCTTTAACAGACGTCATAATTATCGCTTCAAATTTGTCAACTTTTACCTACATATGTACATACATGTATATTAACACACAATTTGTACTTTTAACTGGAACAAATAGGATGATGTTTTACTAATGATTGATAATTGGTATTATAAAGTCATCACTCTTCGTCACTCTGAGCTGTGCACATGGCGGAAAAGGCACATCTCATGACAAGGTCATCCCAAGTACCAGGCCTGATTGGTAGACAATTTTCGATTGGACAAACTTGGATAAATTGTCGTCTGCTCATCATCAAAATGGAGGACATGCTAGAACGAACAGATGCTTCTAATGAAGAAACAAACACCAGACAATATATATATATAACGTATATAACGTGTTTGCGATTTCCCCTGTTAAACCGTAACAACAGTGTATCACATAGTGTCAGTCAAGTCAGCACTGAATGTATTTGAAGATACTCAAAATGTAATAGAATAGCTGTGCACATAACAAGCTTGAGAAAAATGTCCTTTCATATTACCTGAAGCTATTTATTACTTTGAATTTTAGAAACATGGTTCGGATCAACTGGAGACGCAACCTGACTAAAGTTCAGATCTACTTAGGTTACTTTTTGTATTTCGCAAAGCGTTAATAAGGAGCCTGCTGGAGACGGGTAACCAATTCAGTATAACCATCTGAACTGTTAAAAGTCTAATTTTCGCAGCAACTTTAATTGTTTTGCTAATGATGATGACGATGGTGCTGATGGGGATGAGATGATGAAGAAAATATAAACAACATCAAAAACCAACAACAGCAACAACAACAACAAAAGCTGCAGAAAAAGAATAAGCAGAAGCAAAAGCAGCATAAGCAGCAGCAATAACATATAAATGAATTAATGAATGAATTAATGAATGACGGACGGACGGACGGACGGACGGACTGACTTAGTGGTCATTCAGTCGTACGGTTTCATTTTGTACTGGTATGAAAAGTTAATCCAGATATTTATTATGATATCAAAAACATTTTTTCATTTCATTTTTCATTCAGCATTAAAGAAAACCCGGAACCATTTGATCATATTTTTGATGTCTTTTTTCTTTGCGATCACGGTGGTTGATCGAACTTTCTGACAGTGACCTTAAACTGTTCTAAAAGATCAGGATATAGGCCACGACATAGGTTGACGTCAAAGGGTTGACTGACACTAGCATGACATTAGAAAGATTGAACTCTTATATACATACAAACACTAGAACAGATGTTCTCATGTAGATTATTCTTTGTAAGGTCACAAGATAAAACAATGGTTCCAAAATTGATTGCAAAATATCTATTATTTAGTAACTGTAATATAAAAGGTGAAGAATAGGGAGAGAGGCGTTTTGTTACTGTGACAATATACAAAGATGGGTCGTCTACTAAATTCGTTGATTTTTGTGGGTATGATCGTCGTCGGACGCTGTGATGATCCACATTGCTGCGTTAGTAGTCAATTTTCCTCCAGAATAAGGATCGAAACAGCATCCGCCGCAGTGGGTAGGGAACCCCGGATTGACTATGTAAGCATGTTTCTTTTATTAATTTCTTATATTCGTACAACTTTTTTTAACCACTTGTTGACTGCCAACTTTGTCCCAGTTTCCTCTCCTAAACATCATATAAACCAAGTAAAGTATTAAAAAATATAGATATATAAAGAATTAAATCAACAAAATGTTGCATTTCGATTTTTATTTATAATAATGAATAGATATTTATATAAGCATTTTCGCTCTTTATTGTCCCATCACCCCGCCCATCTTTAGTGATTGCGAAGCAGATGCCTCTTTTTAAAATACCTGTCACCATTTTCCCTTTGCCGTAAAAAACTGTTACTATATTCTGTTTAATGAATTTATTTCCTGAATAAAATTTCCTTCGTTTTGTTCTTTTATAAAAATTTTGTGAAATGGGAAATTCCCACGACCGCAAAAAAATTCGGAAGTTGCAGACTTGGTTTGATTGAGTCTGTTCACGAGGAAGTTTGGACAAGTGCAACATCTTTCACGTCCCCTAGTACCAACTTTAGAGGTATCCAATGTTCAACACTTAATGTGCGTGGAAACACGGGAAACGACCATTAAAGTATAACAGCATTTACGGTTACAATACAGTTGCTTTTGTAAGTCGCGTGCATTTATAAGTTGGATGTATAAGTAAGTCGGGTGCATTTGTATAATCAGAATAATTTCCATACTTTCAGAACGATTTTTTCATGGATTATGACAGGGACATGAAGATAGAAAAAATCAGTGGAACATTAACAAAAGATGTTGGTGGTAGCACAGAATCTACTGTAAACTATACTGTCATCAATGACTATCAGCATGTAAATATTCATTTTCTGTTTTTCTGTAATTTTTCAATGTTATCATGACATAATTTTATGCGTCACGACATAATTTTACAACTGAATTAAGATAAATTCTGTATAATTTTACAAGTATACTGAATCGGACTGTATGGGTGTTCCGGTATATCTTGGTCTACACTAATGGTAAACAGTGCAGACCATGATCGAAACGTATGTGTGTTCCGGTCGATCTTGCTCTGCACTGGTCGCATGGAGAGATTTTTTTAGCAGCTAGCAGGCTTAGACTTAACTACGCATGTTTCATTAGTACTAAGAAACGTCTCGTTTGTACTAAGAAATCCAGCTGTACTTAGACAAGCCTCTTTGGTTCTTAGACACACCAATTTGTAACAATACGTGTCACCCTGGTACTAAGAACACCAATCTGTACTTAGACTCGCCTGTTTTGTATCTTTTGTACGTAAACACACCCATTAGTACCAAGACGCGTCTAATTGATACTAAGTTGCACTTATTTTTAACTAGACCAGCCTCGATAGTACTGGTATTAAGACGCGTCCGTCACTTTGGCAGTCAGAAATAATCTTGCCTCTATGAAACTAAGACACACCCATTGATATCAAGACGTGTCTTGTTGGTACTAAGGCAAACTACTTGGTATTCAGACGGACATCTTTTTTTCAATTCAATTTGAAATTAATTCTGGCTAAAGAGATGATAGCAAACTACAGCTAGTTGATAAATCTACATGAATGTAAACATTAAAAGAGATATGAGCCGCGTCATGACAAAACCAACATAATGGGTTTGCGACCGGCATGGATCCAGACCAGCCTGCGCATCCGCGCAGTCTGATCAGGATCCATGCTGTTCGCTATCAGTTTCTCTACTTGTAATAGAGTTGGTAAGCGAACAGCATGGATCCTGATCAGACTACGCGGATGCGCAGGCTGGTCTGGATCCATACTGGTCGCAAACCCATTATGTTGGTTTTTGTCGTGACGCGGTTCATATACTCTTTAGGAAACATTCCCCCCGTACAGATGTTAGGATTTTACTCTCTGTGGGGATATGAGGCAAACTTAGATTCAAAAATAATTACCAAAAGAAGATTTCTAAAAGTATTTATAATTGCAAGAATAAAAGAAAATTGGTGCTTTGACCGTATTTGGGAGTACAGCTTTCTTGACTATAATACCGATACTATCAAACAGAAGGTAAAAATAGCTTGTTTAAATTAAACAGCCATGTCTATGTGCCATTTAATGGGCGTTCAAGGGTCATTTTATTTCTTTTACCTTTTGTTTTTTTCTTTTCTTTTCAGGGAAAGAGTTACAATTTCGGGAACTTTTTCGGTTACGCATATTGCAATGTATCGCAAATTAACGTCAATGATATGAACCCTGGCTGCGTTCCCAGTAAGATATTCTTCGATTATTTTAACATAATACTAGTATTTTATAACATAAACTATCGTTTTGGGATCTCGCATACTTTTTGTTTCGGCCCGTTCCGTCAAACTTCGGAATGTGATTGTCGAGTTATTTTGATGAACTTGACCGAGAAGTTGTGATTAAAGAATAACATGCTTATTAACAATCACATCTGGTCAAATCTTTCCAATTCGACGTAAGATACGTCCATTTTTGATTAATTATTAAGAGTTAATAAAAACCCAAAAAACAACGAGACTCAAAAAATCACTTGACAATCTTATTGTAAGTGGAAAACATAACCATAGACAAAATCAAGAAATTGTCACAGTGTTGGTCAACTTCATTAATTTTTTTCTTTTCTTTTACCAAGAAAGCTTCAACTTAACTGGGACCTTCCGCCTCGGATCGGGGTCTGACTCCGCAAAGATAAACGTTTTTGAAGGAATGGAGGGAAATGTTCAGCGAACTGTTGTAACAACTGCAAACGAATGCAACCCTATAAGTATGGCCAGTCACGGAGCGTTAGATGATGGTTAGTTATCTTTTTCTTATATTTTAATTTGATCTCAACGGCAATTATATGCAAATCGTCTTAATCACGATTTCCTTTTGTTTGATTGGCATACAAAAATGATACAATTTCGGCACACATTCATGCGTTTAGAGGTAGAAAAAGTCTGAATTTCTGTATTCCAAAACTTCGAATCTTGGCAAGGCGCTTCGACGGATTAAATGGATAGTAACAATAGTAAACTATAAAAAAATAGGTAACTATACTCTTTGGTACTGTTTTGAAAAATAAAAGTTCGTTTGCAGATGTATCACCCCTAACGATTATTCAAAAACAAGTTATATAGATATAAATTAAAGTTAAATATAATGAGCATAGATTGAAAGGGAAACGTATGTCGCATGCAGTGGTGCATCATGATAATTGAATACTGAATATGTATGCATTTAAAATTAATAGATGTTTTAGAACTTTGGTTATATTTTATAATTTGAATAATTTGTGTTTAAATATGAATATATTTTTTAAAGATATAAATGTATCAAATATATATTTTAATTCGTTAGAGCATACATATGTATTTATCTAAAAGGTATATATGATTTAGAACTTGACAAAAATTATTGCTCTATGAATTAAACATAAGTTTCAGAGCTTGCATATGCAAATACTATGTATTTATCTATGTCTATTATTTTACAGGTTCTTACATCAAAGAAAACATGTTCTATATCAACTTTGTCCAGAACTCAACATTCCCTGCAGGAACATTTACAATACCAGACAATTGTAAAACGGTAATTATATATAACCAGTCATAGAATAGACCTCAAATCAACAACAACAACAACATATTGTTTCTATAGGGTACCAACATAGAGCACTCTTTGCGTACTGTTAAACCACAGATTCTGTCTGATCTTGACCACTAAATGATTGTCCGACCACAATTTGACAAAAGTTCAGATATTCTCATGTTAATATGTAGGGTTATTTTAAGCAGATTGGTCCTAACATTTGAGGTAAAAGTTTGTAATGGCAACTACATGGTTCTATTTACTTCGAGGTAAGTAGGTCAAAGTTATAATGTCACAGGTCAAAATGAATGTGTCACTATTTATTAAAATCCTTGCCCGATCAATCAATCAAAAAATGAATAAGCAAAACTTGCTAAACTTAGCAAGGACGGGAGCAGTGTTTATGTTATTGAAATAAAAAGTGATCAATTGAGGGTTTTTAGGTCAAGGTCACAGTAGGTCAAAATCACAGTGAAACATGAAAGACTTATCTAATCAGGAACAAGAGTTTAGAGTATAGTTTAAATAATTTTATATAAAAACAATTCTAAACAATAAAAAAAAAACCCGCCCCCACCTCACCAAAATAAAAATAATAATAATAATAATAGTAACAATAATGAATAGTAATAAAATATAAAAAAAATAATAAAATAAATATAAAAATCTATACATGTATGAAAAGCAAACAAAAAAGAGTAAACTAATAATGGTAGGAATTTTGGTGCAAATTAAATTAATTAAAACGTTTTTGTTTTTTATTTCAGGCGGGATAATTAGTGGATGACGTTACCACAGTACATGGATAAGCATCATAATGAGTTCAAATACAAGTTTTCTTTGTAAACTGATCAAGTAAAACTATAAATAAACATATATATTTAATTCACATATAATTATATTTTTCAGGAGAAATTTATGTATGTTTCCAAAACGTTTATTGTTGGAAGTTTTCAATAAATATTCATAGTACAAACGCTGGCTATAAAAATTAACCGTAAAATGTCGTTCTCTTCCGCCATTTTTCGGCATTTTCGGCGATATAATTGCCTATCTCTACTCCCATCACGAACAGGAGAAAAGGTTGAGCTGCTGTTTTCATGACCCTCTCGTTGGTTTAGGTCTTTTTTTTTCTCAAAAACTTTTAATTCAAATTTGACATTCATGTTTACTATCACAAATTGATGTCATTTCAAAAATGCTCTCCTGAGGTCCAAAATTATGAGACGTCAGTAAAAATTCCCTATCTATGAAAAATAGCAACGTTTCGCAAAGTTATTAATATAAAAGTGTAATTAAAATTAAAAATTCTGTTATGAATAATATAATTGTTATGATATTATATTAATTTAAAAATATTCTGCAATATAAATTGATATACACGAAATAAGAAAGGTAACTTAAAAATGCTTCACATCATACTATAGAAAATCTACAATATCACGATGACAAACCTGACAGAATAGTAATGACTTCCATTGGATGATTCTGGCAAATACGACAGCAGATTTGCTCATTTGTTTCATTTGCGTTAATTGTAAAAAGAAATAGAAACTATTTTAAATGTTTTTTGTTAAGAAAACAAAGCAGACAAGATAATTATAAAATTATATAAAGAAAAAGAATTTTAAACAAACACGTCAAAATTATATTATAACATTAACATGATCATTTTGTCTTTCACAGAGATTTATTTTTCAGTAAATTTAATTAATTATAAAATCTATAATTTCTCAGAGGTTTTCAATAGTACAATTGAATTTAAACAAGAAGATAACGATAAGTTTAAGCTGAACTAAACAAGAAGTTATCACTTCATGTTTGCACTCTTTATGTCAATGAAGTTATACCGGATAATAATCATTGGGTGTCAGACCTCGAGGGGGTTATAAGAGATTTCTGATCTCGCGACCCTACGCTGGATAAAGTAAAGTAAGTAAAGTAAAGTATTGAAATTTTTAAAACAATTTAAATATATAGCCAGGTTTATCTTTGTTTATGCTTTCAGAGGCCGAGTTATACAAGTCTATAAGAACCAAATACATTAATGTAGTCCTCTTCATCTTCCATTGTAGTTCTCTTACTTGTTTGTGAAATCAAATTTGGAGTAGGATGAAAGTGTATGTTGTTCCTCATTAGAAATGTTTCTTTCAGATTTATCATCCTACAACAATAAAATTAATTCTATAATTAACCTTCAAACCACATATCTTCGCAACAGTAACAAAATGTATTACATAACATCTAAAAAGGAATTACACAATTATAGCTTCAAACTAACAACCCATGAAATTTGAATCAAAATGATCTTGTAAATGAACTTATACATTTTTGATCATGACAGACAAGAGTGTTTAGCCTAAAATTCACCAATGATCACCAGTATATCACTAGAAATGTTTTACATGTAAATGAAAGTTTAATAAGCTATGAAATTGCAAACAAAAATTAGGGAGGGTTTACATAATAGTCCGCCTTTAAACCAAGGTATAGCGGGCTCAACCCCGCCAATGTTGAATCTTAAACACAGGTTCTTTGTGAATAATTTAGTAATAAGTTGATTAGCCATATTTGACAATTTATCACCTGTGCAATGAGGCAAATGGAACTATATCATAACATATACTCTATAGCAGTGTGCAAGGGTTGTGTGTACACAAGTCATTGCAATTAATTTGAAATTACAAATTATTAGGTTTAATGATAAAATAATCCTTTTTAATTTACTTACCATTGTTTTCCGTAAAATGTACCTCAGCAGATTTTTAACAAAATGGCGGGTGTACCTGTGTGTACATTCGGAATATTTCGTAATTGATCAATACATAGACTGTCATAAGCAGTTAGCCGTAGACTGCCCAGTTAGCAGTAGGCAGTGAGCAGTAGACGTTTATGGAATTCCGTATCCAAATGCCTAAAACATTGAATTTCTTACAAAGATCAGTTGTAACACTTAAAACAGAAATGTATGCAAAAAGATATATTAAAATATATACATGTACGAAGAAATGATGGAAAATAGTATTTTATGCTGTTTTTCATCCGTTTATGTGAAAAGCCTTGCAATTTTGAGTCATTTCCCCTAATTACAAGAATCATTCTGACAAACAGGGTGAGCGAAAGAACTGATTTTGTTCACATAAATGTTTGATCTGGACCTACATCAAATGAAGCATTAATCTCGAAAAATTATTTTCATGTTTAAAACCTCATCGGAGGCCCTTTAAACTTTAAGCATTTGTTCGCTATCAATTTTGCAATGCATTTCTTAGGAACAGGTAATGTTGCTTTAATATTTACTTTATTTTCCTCTTACAGGTTTTTACTTCAAACTTATTTTTTTTATTATCAAGGACAGGTAAGAATATCAAACGTCTTTTGCAGAATGTTGCCCCCCACCCTTTCAGTGTTGTATTTTATTTAACTAGTACTGAGAAAAGTGAAGCACGCTGTATGTGGACAGGTCTTGTTAAGAATAACTTTATAAATATAAATAACTGAGAACTGTTTATTCTGTGAACATTTTTCATCTCATAAACATTATTTGAGCCGTGTCACGACAAAACCAACATAATGGGTTTGCGACCAGCATGGATCCAGACCAGCCTGCGCATCCGCACAGTCTGATCAGGATCCATGCTGTTCGCTATCAGTTTCCATACTTGTTATAGGGTCTGTAAGCGAACAGCATGGATCCTGATCAGACTGCGCGGATGCGCAGGCTGGTCTGGATCCATGCTGGTCGCAAACCCATTATGTTGGTTTTGTCGTGACACGGCTCATTCATTGATGTTAACGAACAGCCTGAACATTATTCATTTAGTAAAGGACGTTCTTGGCCGAGTGGTTAAGATCATTGACCTTAACTTACTTGTCCCTCGTCGCTTTGGGCTCGAATCCTACAAGGGACTTTAGATGGATTGTTTCAAGTGCAAACGTTATATAGCTAGTTTAGCGAACGACGATTGTTTTTCTAAGTTGCCCATGTCCGTTTGTGCCTTAAATATTACACGGAAGAGCCACCGGGTTTTCTTAAAAAGTCGCCACATGACCTATACTGTGTAGGTGCAACGTTAATCCAACCAAAACAAAACAAAACAAAATAGCAACAACAACAACAAAAAAAAAACCCACACCACCAACAACAACGAAGACGACAAAAAACATCTTGTTGATTGAACAATGATCTCTCAGCAGTCACATTATTGAATTTAATCACTAAGAACATCTAAATGATGTCAATTCATTACCCAATGAGCACTCTAACTCTGCATATCAACGTCCGTTTTTGTGACTCGGTGATTCGGAGGGTAAAATACTAACACCCCCACAACACCGCCACCAACGAACGTTTTTGATATAATAATTTCACTATAGGTCCGGTGAGCATATTTGATAGCCATTTAGAGCCTTTCTGTGCATGCTATACTTTGTCTTATATATATTTCCTGATTTACAGTCTATTTACCACGCTAAATATCCTAAATGGACTTGTCCATCTTTCAATCTGGACAATACCATTTATTATTTTAGGGAAAATTTTTCTGAAAAGCGTACAGTATAGATCTGATGATATTAGGTGCTACTTGTAGCAGGGGTAGAAGCAGACGCTTCCAGTAGGCAAAGGCTCTGTTATGTCAAGAAGTATCTTTAAATCAAAGCACAGAAGGCGCTGAATTTGTTTGGATCTCAGAAAGTAAAAAAGGTGCAGGTTGTGAGATTATATGTATAGTGCCACCAATGCTTTCCAGCGTTTTAATTGTAGTAAATTGGCTATAAGACTTATTGCAACACTGATATGCAATACAATGTTTTTATTGACTTAAACAATTTGAAAAAAAAATGAGTTGCCTTTACTGGGATTTGAACTCAAGACCTCTCGCTTCATAGGCGAGCGAGAAAACCCTTTAGCCACGGTGAATTTATATGTGAACGGCCTGAAGAAAACCATATTATTCTAAATTAGGGCTTGTAACGACTTTAACAGTTGTTTAACACAGATGTAAATAATCTTGGAGCTTACTATAAGCATGTATATTTATAAAGAATCAAAGGGATGCAAGTTCTGTGGTATTTTCTGATCTTTGCAATCTTAATCGTACTGTATATCTGTATGCATTTTCCTGTATTAGTTTATTTTTATGTATTATTATTCATTTTGCAAGGCACCAGAGTTTGATACATACGGAATTCTGCATAACTAGAGATGCATCAAAAAATCATTTATGTTCATTTTTTTACGACAGTCACACTTTATCCTTGCATATCATGGCTACTTCCTTAACAAAGACACTTAAAAAAGAATTAAAAAAAAAAGTTTCCTCGACTTAGGTTTGAACTCCAGACCTCTCACTCTGAAGCGAGCGCGTTACCCCTGCACCACGGAGAAGTTATACAAATAATAGCTGAATAACATCAGGTCATTCTAGATTTAGAACTTCCATTGCATTTCGGGTTTGTTATCCTTATTAATTTCGAGGTATTTTGTTCAGGATAAACCTGTTGTTTAAAATTGAAGTAAATAATTTAGCGAAAATCTTCTCGCCCAAACAGTCCAACATGTAGAATCTATATATTCCACTACTCGGTTTGTGTAGTATTCGGTAATCAACATCGCTAAAATAGTATTTTCATTGATAAAATCATATTCATCCGCGTAATTTGTGATTGTGCATTTATTGACAATTCTATTAGCCAACGCTAGTTAACGCTAGTTTTAAACTTTGAATGCGTTGTTATTTGTTGGATACTTGTAACAAAATAAAAATATGTCTTTCTTTTAAATCGCTAGTTTTAAGCTGTTTTGAGAACTACTTGTTGTTTGGTTTGTTGTGAACTTCTGTGTCAGAGGTTGAATGCCCGCTTTGTATTTACTTAATTTCGAT